AGGTTCTTGCCTGGAGGATTTGGTGATCCCCTGCTACTAGACACGGAAGCCATTGCCAAACAACAAGGATGATACTTCTCCGAAAACATACGATGGGTCGTTCAGTGGTGGCCACACAATTATCTGGATTCATTCGATTGTTCTGGTCCGAGCTAGTGGCAAAAACGTCAACAGCATCAAACACCCTGGAAGTGATTGCCATACTGCATGTTTTATTCTGGATACTTTTGGATCATTACTACTCACGAATAGCGTTATATATGTCGTCCACTGAATAATCTAATTTTCAAAAATAACCCAGACGAGTTCAACTATTTTACTTAGTGATTTTTTGTACTTAACATGTATATGTTTTCCAGTTGCTTTTGCCATATATTTGTAAGTGTCCCTAGGCTAAATGCAGTAACTTCTTATGGAATGTTTATAACGCGTCATATTCCTGTCTGTATTAGCTTTAAAATGATCTTTCTGTACATGTTCATGATTTTTAAATTGTCATATACGTCAACAACCTGCATGTTAACTTGGCCCGTACATACGTTACACTATATCTTCATGTCTTCGAAATTTAGAAATCATCTGAATCGCCTTTAACATTTATCAATAAACCTATCATAGTCGTTGTTGCTAATCGTATTAAAGTTTATGGCTTGGTTTATCATATTAGCAGCCTAAAATGCGAACATAGTTTAGATAATAAGATTAAAAATTTAGGTACTATCAACTGCACTAGTAAAATAACTAAATCCTCAGGTAGCTGTTGGCTAAACAAACGTTTAAAATCAAAACTCCGTAGCCTACTAAAATTAACACTAAACGAATATTTCTGAATTGAAATTTATAATTAAATTAGGCGTCTCGGATTCTTTAAAGTTATAAATTTCTGATAATTTCGAATCACCTAAAGCAACAATAACTATTTTTCCAATGACTAATCCTCAATCAACACTATAATTAGTTAAACGTAATAGATTCAGGATATAGTCATAAAGCATTGTCATGACTTGACAATCACGTAATTAATGAAACTATTAACAAAATCGGTGAGCAAATTATCACTAGTGTTGTTTTTCTTTAATCTTCATTCACTACAGATGATCCCGACCGTTGTTGCTACCTTGACGTGGTGGTCGGGCTTGCCTATCGTGATGAAGCAACCGAGCTATACTGGCTGGAACAACTGTTCCTCAAGGTCCTACCATGTCAGACAGGTCGGTTGAAGAGTGGTAAGACTAAAAGCAACAAACCCAAGGTTCGAAGGCGAAGTCGTACTGCTGACTGTACAGAGGTGTGACAGCAGTAAGGTGTTTCCTTCAGACAACCAGCATGACAGCGATGCTGCCTTCCCACAAGGAGGGGTGGGGTTAGAAAAGGTCGACCCTAAAAATGCACACCTCGCCTTACCTCACGGGTATCCGTCTCCGGTGGTAAGGCCCTTTGAAGAACGGAGCTAACACGTCAAAAACCTCTCACGAAAAGGCCGTGCGCGACCGGCCTCAAGCAGTTGTCCCTTGGGCACTGCGGTCACGCTCCCAGGTCACTGAGACCACCTCTAATCCAATTTCCTTTTCAGGTACCTCCAGAAGAACCCTTCCTCGGTGTGGGCAACCGGGAAGTGATAACCGCCCTCATACCTCTAACAGCACTCAAGACCACTGTATTCATAATCAACCTCCCTCTTCAATTCCTATTATTCCTCCTACATCGACTTTCAACTCTAAACTTCCTCTTTCGGCTTCCTCCTCAAGTGTCACCACAGCCAACGATTCTAGTGCTCAAAACACTGTTCCAGGTCTACTGAAACCTCGCTCCAAACTACACATTGGAGCCTTCAACGTACGCACCCTATGTCAAATCGGTCAGCAGGCTTCCTTGGCTAAAACCCTAGAGTTTCTTTCCATTGATGTGTGCTGTGTCTCCGAAACACGCATACAGGATTCCAGTGTGATCATTCACTCGACCTCACCTCGGCAAAACGGAGAGTCAACGAAATACACCCTCCGTGTATCTGGTGACCCGATGGTCAGTTCTCGTGGACTGGCAGGTGTAGGCATAGCACTAAGCATGAGGGCGGAACAAGCACTGTTGGAGTGGATCCTCGTCAACAGTCGTCTATGTGCTGTTCGGCTAAACGGCTCCGTAAGGACTCGGAAGGATAGGGACACACGTCGTTGCCTTTTTGTCGTTTCTGCCTACGCTCCCACCGACTGCAGTTCAGGTGAAGTGAAAGATGAATTTTACAGAAAGCTCTCTGAACTTCTTCAGAAAGCTAAACGTTCAGACATAGTACTCGTGGCAGGTGACTTTAATGCCCAGATAGGTAGTTTAAACCAAACAGAAAGGCATTTAGGTGGGTATTTTAGTATTCCGGCACAACGATTAGATAATGGTGATCGCCTGCTGCAACTGTGCTGAGACAATCGTTTATTTTTAGCAAACACAAATTTTAAGCATAAGGAGAGACATCGTCTAACATGGCGACCCCTACACCAAACCAACGATGGACTCAAATAGACCATATTGCTATCAGTCATAGTTGGAGAGGGTCGGTAGAAGATTGTCGCTCATTCTGGAGTACCTGCTTGGACTCCGACCATGCCCTAATACGGGCACGCATCTGCTTGCGCCTCACTGGACGCAAAAAAGCCACATTAAAAAGACCCATTAGAACTGAGTTGAGTAACGAGAAAACCAAAAGTAGGTTCCAGGAACAACTGAGGTCACACTTAGGTAGTTCTGCAAACGAGGCTGACCCAGATGTTGCTTGGAAAGCCATACAAACAGCTGTGGAAACAGCAATGAAATCTATTAGTGACTTAAACCACAGAGTTACAACGAACTAGTGGATTTCTTCAAAGTCTATCACACTGATGGATTCTCGCAAACTCGTCCCATCAGGTTCCGAACATGATGAAGAGCGACAACAAATCAGATCTAGGTTAAGAAAAAGTCTAAGAAAAGACCGTGAGCAGTGGTGGGCAACGAAAGCAAAAGAGATGGAAAAGGCGACGACTATAGGGAACACCAGACAGCTCTACAGACTAATAAAAGAAACTGGTATTAATAAGTCAAGTGTAAGGCAGATATTTTAAAATTATTACATGTATTTCCCGACCAGATGCTGCCGCGTTTTTGATTTAACTTTCAGCTTATTATTACCCGGGGGATTCTTACTAGTCTTGGTAATCTTCAGCGCACGACAGTTCCATCCAATTCGGTATAGAACCAACATCACGTGGATTCTGGTGGGAGAGTAGTGTAGTGGCATTGGACAATAACCACACAATCCACAAAGCTGAACACCAGACTACTCAGAAAATAGATATTCAATATTTAACGCGGAGAAATACCTAACGATGGAGAAGGCGGGAAGAATGTATTGAATGAACTGGAGTTGGTCGAATGGCATGGCTCGTCCTTGCAGGCCTGGTCCCTACTGAATGTTACCTTATATCTTTTATTCATACTAAATATATTGTTCTATCTCTAGCCTAAGCTTGTTCCCCTTTATGCATTGGGAGTTGTTACGATACAGTGAGTTGGTGTAGGGGGTGATGTGACTTCCACGTAAGGTCTTATAGACTAGGCAGTTATATCATGAAAAATCTACAATGTTCAATTCCGGGAATCTTGAGGGAGGGCGTACAACTGAGCATTTTCAATGCGGCCGTCACTGATATAATAGCGTAAGACAGAATGATCACTGGTAAGTGGTTCACACAAAACCGCCATTTTCTTGGTTGAAATATTAGTCTCACAACACAAGGTTATGAACGGAAGTAGAGAGCTCTGAGGCTAGAGAAAGACTGTGTCTTAGGTATCTTGAGGAGCCATCATTACGCTATTTTTCGTCCTTCATATATGTCAACGACACTTCTTCTGTGCTCACGTGGAGAGACAGATTTCCCACCTACATTTATTATCACCTCTCCAGCAGTTCAACACAGTTTGGCCCAAGTGTATTGCTGACATTGGACGTGATAACGAGCGATAACTATCCAGGAGACCCAAATAAATCCTACATCCTGACCCAATTCTTTAGAAGACAGCTGAGCATGTTGACATGTGACCTGTTCTAGATATTGCTTGGGATTTACGCCCGGCCAAACCCTTGAGCCCATAACATTATTGAAGTTTTCTCCTTAAGAAAGTTTGGTATCTCTTGAAACGATAGTAGAGACGTGAGACAAAGAACTTTACATAATCGAAAGGCAAATCGTATAGAGATCGGTCTCATTGAGTTGAGCTGTTTCGCCTCAGCTATAAAAGGACGAAGAAGGATGGGATCATGGTATAGAACATCCTGAGTAGTCCAGGTTACCCCACCCCTCGAGGCCGGTTAATCCATCCATTCGTACCTTCACACATATGTACATACATGCCCACATACACAACTAAATTAATATGTACATAAAAAACACGTTCATTCATATACATGTGCATATATACACACAGACTTACACACACAGACATACATAGACACATACGTACATTGATACGTGTTACATGCAAAGACAAAACGTAAATGTACCTCTAAGGCAATACGCTATTACACTTACTGATTTTATTCCCTTTACACTCCCTGTCACATCCTTACCCAAGCATTTTCTCTTATTTGACAAATCATTATTGCAAATTATTCACTTGTCTTCATCTATCTATTTATTTGTTTTGTAAGTTTTATCTTCTATCTGCGTCTGTTCATCATCCCCATTTTGATCACAAAACTTTGTTGCGACCGACCAAACGGCCAGCCTGTGGTGTGAAAGGTGCCAGTAACAATGATCTCACCATTTATGGGACACATATTCTCACCTACCCGACCTCCGAAAAATTGTCAAGTGAAATACGGCTAATGCAGTTGGGTGGATAGAATATCTTCACCAGATGCTATCAAATATCTGAAATCACTCCTTAACGTTGAAGTGGAAGTACAAAATAACTATTCGATTTATATTCGTCTCTTACGAGCATGTTGTTCATTGAATTTCGGTTTCTATGGTACCGGTTCCAGCAGTTTTGAAAATCTCTTCAAGGTAGTTCGCAGTTAGTTACCATATCTCTCGTGATTTTAACGCAATGAAATAAGTAAACACTACAAAATAGTCTGTGCAATTGTTTGCTATTCATTAAAGTAATTATTATAAGGACCTTTTATCGTATCTCCCTTGCAAACCTGCGAAAATTGTTAGATTTTTTCAGTGATTACGCTATTTATGATTTAGTTTGTGCATTTTGGGGTGTAGAATAGTTCAAAACCTTGGATTTTGGTTCAATAATTCGTGCTCTTTTGTTTGTCTTGGTCTTATACATTGTTCTCCACAATATACGTCATTGCATCTAGTCAGTGATTATATCTAGAAGTGGTGAGACCATAATTTATGGACATTTGAGCGACGCTAAAGTGACCTTGAGAATGTCTGCCTGCTTACTGGAGGTGAATGAGGTGTATAAAGAATAGGGATTATGATTTACAGTTGATGGTAAGGGTTAGGGTTTAGATTTATGGTTTTCCTCACGAACTGACATCATCCAAAATGCCAAAACACTATTTAGACAAATAAGTGAGTGGATTTCGCGCCCAAATCCAGGACCTGTTATCCTAAATCTGATTGGTTTGTCCATAAACTATAGTCTCGCTCAAAATTTCCATAAATATTTGGCTGGATGAACACCATCATTTGTTGCTTGTTGAACGATGAATCATACGATATTTTTGATTTAAGGACAGGAAACAAAATGACTTAACTGGAGTTTTATGACATCTATTTTTGCACGTCTACTCACTTTTGGATGCGCTTACTGCCTAAAATCAAGCCAGGCGAACAACAATGGTGAAATCGAGGCGGGTATTCTTTGAGGAAACTTGACGGAATTCTTGGCGGAAATGCATCAGAATGTTGCCTCTTTCGTCTGTCACAGGGAGATTGCGAATTTTTTCTTAAATCTCTCTCTTGATAAGCCTTGTTTCAAAATTTTGATCTCAACAAAAGTAGCCCACTTTTGTCCTAAGTATCTGTGTTCGCTATTACTTTCACACGAAGGTTAACTTCCAAGCAGTTCAACTAATTTAGGAGGTTGATTTGTGTGTAATAAGTCACTTAATTTCGAAGATTTAAACCACGACCTACAAAAATATTGGCAGTGATCGATTGAATTATAAAATGGAATAAGAATTATTAGTTATTCCTGGGTTCCCCTTAAATTATTTACCGATAATACGTACAAACATTGGATGAGACTTACTTTTGTGTTTGGTAAAACAAATCGCTACTGTTAGAAAATCCTGATAGCAGTCAGATTCGCAGGTTGTTAAGTACATGTCCTTTCCTTCTGGAATAACGGCTATTCAATTTTTCTCTCACGTCATTAAAGAATCTTTGCAAGATCTTCAGAGAGAATGGATGATTGAAATTTCAAATCTACTGAGCTTAATGAATAAAGACCATCAAATACAATTTCACTCTCCAAACCTTAGCAAACTCTACGCTTGTGAATATTTCTTTCGATGATATCCCCAGAGAGTGTAAACCTGACACCCAGTTATGGCTGTATAACACGCTGGAACAAATAAAATGAGTGTTTCCGAACTGTCAATCGCCAGTTTGGTGGCTTTTGCCATCTGAAGTGAAAATAAATTACTAAACAAATCCGTGGCCCTAGTGTTTTTTCTCTGATGTTTTCACCTTAAAGACATGTATCCAGTTTACGGTAACATGTCGGATTCGAGCTTCCTTGATATGTCATCATTGTCTCACATACATTAGTAATATTTAAGCAAGACCGTTTTAGCTAGTAATTACAGTTTCATAACGATAGAGGGAAGTTCTAACGATGACGCTGTTAAACTATTACAGAAAGTTTCTGACCTATTTACGTTCTGGCGGCCAGGTAGTATTATCAGCCCTCACATTTACAGTGTGGCTCATACCTAAGTGCCTGGCGAATGAGTTGACATTATATTATATCAGCCGATTTGTTCAAAAACATACATTGCTAAATCTTCATCAATTAGACCCACAAGTTGATGCTTCATGGTCAAGGAGTCACAAATTTTAGAGAAGATACGTCATACTTTCAAGCAAGATAGATTTAATGTGACGTCCTAACATGCTAATAAGTACACCGCTACAATGCTGCTAATGGGTGTTAATCGCACAGAGGGTCTCATAATGTTTAAATAATATTGCTCCTGTTTTAGATAGCAGAGAAGAAGAGAACTGAGGAAAAAATTAAAGTGGAAAAATGGAATAAAAGACATGAGAAAGTAGGGCGACAATGTCACACGTGGTGAAATATTAGGCTTCAAAAAGAAATATGTAAAGTAACAGCTAACCTAAGCCACTACGACATGAAGTATTAACTAATTTATCTGATCGTTATTCTCACTTATATGGTAAGAAACCTGTACAATAAGAAACTCCAGTTCTAACGAATGTATTTTTAGTAGAAGAACGGGATCCTGAGCTAATTAACATGTGTGCGTTTTGTGTTTCGTCAGGTTCTTGTTACCTGTTTACAATCTGTGGTATTTAAAAGTCAGAATTACAAGGTGGATTAGAAGCACTTAGACAAATGAATTTCATTGAGAGGTGTTGTGGACACATACCAGCATAGTACAGCAGAGATGTAGTTGAATTAACAGAATAAATAAAAATATTGCGAATGTATACCATTTCCAGTTAGAAACTCTAAAATATTGATAGTGATAATAAATTAAGGGATTAACAATAAGCAACTACATAATAAGAAGATGCTAATAATTCAGAAAGAAATAGATAAATCTCAGTTAAAACTAAAACTACTGAGTTAGAAGAGATTCGAAAAAATGAATTGATAGCATAATTGATTGTAATACAATTAAGAAGGATTTTAAGACGCTAGGAACTAGTTTATGTTAATAGGGCTAGAAAAATTTAACTACTGTCTGCTTTTAAACATATAATTCAGGTTTTCCAGCTCGATATCACCAAAGTCTTTTTACTACATTTTATTGTATCTTATTATTTCGATGGCGAAATCATGTTGAAGTTCATGAAATAATACTGTCCTTCAAACTACCGTGTCTCAAACAATACCTACATTCTCTAGTGAAGACGCAGTACGATTTGATGCGTAGTGAAACTGCAGTCAGAATAATTACTTTGTTTTGGGTCTCAACATTTTGTTCAATGGCTGTTACAATGGTGCAATATATGCAGAAGAACGCGTTTGATAAGGCTTGCCTCCAAACTAACTAGAAGCAACTGTGTTTGCTACAAATTCAGACCCTTGACTCGTTTGGTAGTTTTCTCATGTTTGATTCCCGTCTAGTTAATCCCCTTTTCTTTGCGATTATGAGTTGTAGTAGCTTGAATTGGCAAACGCTAATGCTAGGTCCTGGAGTTACTGCCTCACCATGACCCTGGTCCGTGTGATTATCGTTTCCAATGGTTAGACTTTGAATGTAGTAGCGAAGTCGTTTAAAATAGCCCAGATACACCCAATCTTTATCTTGTGTTAGACCCTAGATTTATGGATTCCTCACAAATTCTGTTTCGTTATTTCACTAATTTATCTTAGATGACTAGTCTTTCCTATTGCCATTACAAGTTTTAGTTTGAATTGTTTTTTTCTGACTAGCGTTTTTTTGCGAGTTAGTTGTCTACGGGATGGGGTCGCTAACCCCATGCCCAACCCTCCTCCATCCGGGTTCGGGATCTGCAGTAACCCCAAAAGGGGCTTCAGGCGAAATTTTTTAATACTGTTACCACATCTAATGCTCTCTGTGCTAACGAGATATGGCAACTTGGAGCGATATGCATACGTGCCAGGTTCTACGTTACGTCTGTTTGACTGACTGAGCTAAAGAAAAACATGGGTTAGCAGATTAAGACAAACTCAACACAGGAGATGACAGGTCGTGAATTTTTTCAGTCTCCATCACGGCTAATAATCAAATAAAATGAAGTATTAACACAGTCACATTGACAGCTTGAGATACCGTAACTTAAAAAGAAACGTCCCAATCAACAACGAAGAATATCGTGTGAGATCACTTATCTTCTATGAGACGTAATCTCCAGGCCTGGACCTTTTACCTGTATCACTGTTGAATGTAATACCAAGTGCTATCTTTTCGAATTCTTTGTGGAAAATAGGTTTCTTGAATCGAACGAACAGCTTTAGATGATTATATCAATCGACGTAAAACAAGCATTTTTAATTCGTCGCTTTAACCGCTTATTGTTGAAACCCATGGACTTCACTGCTGCTTTGAATGTTTTAAATGTATATCCACAAACCGATATTTTATTACCCTTTCACAAATAGAAGGAAATCTCCTTACATCTAAAGTCACCACAGAAGCTTATAACTAACGATATTATTTGATCAACGAGTGAAACCTTAAAGTCACTAGTGTCTTTTAAAAGGTCCACTTACTTTTCATAAAATGGGTATTCACTAATAATAAGTTTGAATAAGATCACTAGGTAAAATTTACATGAAATCTCTCTGTCAACGTATAAAATCTATCAAAGAGATCAGGAGAATAAACATCAGGCCTTGCAATATTCAGCTCGTTGGTCGAATAGTCTAATGACTGGCTAAACATATTTCTGGGTGGTACATTAGTTACAATACTTCTGGTTTGATTGATGTATGAAGCAGCCAAATCCATTCAACTTGGACAAATATCTTAAACGAAGTACCAATAGCTTTTTGCATTTTATTCTTTCAAAAAGACATATTTATTGGGCTACATCCTGTTTTGGTGTGTTTTTTTAGTACTAGACAAGTTGTGCTCTCTCTTGTATTTTAAGACCTCAAGACCGTAGATGATTTTAAATATCATTTTAGGCCTTGAAATTATACAACTCGTTTCAGAAATGTCCAGGGAAAATTCTCCATATATTCATATTGAAAGAACACTCTTAATTATTAAGCCGGACATTATTAATTATGCAGATAAAATAGAAGAGCTTATCTTACAAAAAGGATTCTTGATAATACAGGTAAATATCGATTCCCCAGAATGTATAACCAAAATTGATGCATTTGATAGAAGAGACGCGTTCATTTGACACCAGAACAAGCAAGCGAATTTTATGCAGAACATTACGGGAAAATATTTTATGCAACATTGATTGCCTACATTAGCAGTGGTCCGATAGAAGTACTAGTCATAGCTAGAGAAAATGCTATATCTATTCTTCATGAATTAATTGGTCCACAAAATGCATTTAAAGCTAAGGCGACGGCACCTGCAAGGTTAACTTACTAACATGAAACTTGAACATTCTTATTGAATATTTCTTGTGTAGTTTAAGAGCTATTTATGGTACAGATGATCAACAGAATGGAATACATGGAAGCGATTCGTTTACAAGTGCTGAAAGAGAAATCAGATTCTTCTTCCCAGATAGTAAGTAACTTGAATGAAGTTTTGTGTTTCTTTCTCACAAATCTCACCAAACTTGCCATGCTACTAATAATCATATTCTTACTGAAACTAACTTTGGGGCGATTTTTCAGAGATCCAGTGAGAATCTATGACCTATGGAATTGAACCATGTCGACTATGAGATAAGCACCATTGATTACAGTGGATGATAGTCATTCAATATTGGAGAGTGACTTGAGTTGAAAGCATGAACCCCTCGATGGCAGTTCAGTAATTTGAAGTTTGAGCCCTGCTAGGATTGTTTAGGGAAGCTGACGAGGGGTCTTATATTAGAACAAAACGCCGCTCTAGTGCTTCCTGATTTTTAACAGCTTCCCAGCTAAATCTAGTACCTGATATAAAATATAAACTATTTTTTAATGTATGCTTATGATAGTGGAAACTATGATTATGTGGCGCCAAAGAATCACTCAGAAACCAACTTTAGTTCGTCATTTTGTCTTAAAATTGACGTAAGCCTATTAGCTTTTTGTTTACATTTCAACATGTGTTTGATTCACCCACTTTGACAGTAAGAGAAATGGTTAAAAAAGCATTTGTAAGATAAAGCTTAGTTTAAGATAAAAATGTTTAGATAAATCAAATTAGCTTTAATACAGTCAGTCAGTCAGCTACAACGTAGGATCAGGCACATATGTGCATCGGTACAGGTTGCCATACCGCATCAGCACAACAAGATGAACACCGGATTCATAGCAGTGGCTAGGTCAAAGGTGGTAATATATAAGAGGAAGATTGCATATAGAGATATAGTAATAGAAGAAAGAATTGGTTCGTAGAAAGAAAGATATGAAGTGATTTTAATCTCTTAGTTTAAGGGAAGACAAGGAGTGTATACACCGACGCCATTGTGATCGATTCTGAGCCATGTCACCAAGAGTCTCCAACCATTGGTTACGATAGTCACGCGGACCCCAACCAAGTAGTCTGCATCTACCAACATGGCTCAGACTAGAAGTAAGTGTCTTCAAGCACTGATGCCACGTTTTGGTTTGGCAACCCCTAACTTTCTTACAACCATCTCCAATACCGGATAGCATTGCATGTCGTGGTAATCGGTGTTCAGGCATACGTATCACGTGGCCCAACCATCTCAGTCGATGAAGATTCATAACCTCATCAACTGATTTACTATCCTTCCCTAATACCCTGCGTCTAACCTCACTATTACTTATCCGGTGATCCCAGCAGATGCCAGCAATATTTCTAAGGCATCTCTGGTCAAAAACAATTAGTTTACGAGTGTCTTCTACTCTTAAAGGCCATGTTTCGCTGCCGTAAATTAAAGCAGAACGGACTGCCGCGTAGTATACTCGTCCTTCCATTGATAGAAGAATATCTCGCCTTCATCATATGTAACGTAAGTTCGCAAAAGCCAAACGAGCTTTCTGAATCCGTGATGAGACTTCTTCAGACACCAACCCATTAGAACCACTCAGACTTCCGAGAAAATTGAAATTGTCGACGCGTTCGACTACTTCACTCCCTATCATCAGTTCAGGTGTTGACGCAGACCAGTCCTGAAGCAACAACTTGCATTTAGAGGGAGAGAAGCGCATTCCAAACATTCTGGCATTGTTGCTTAGTGCTACCAAAAGACTCTGCATTTTATCGGCGTCTTCACTAAACAGGACTATATCATCTTCGTATTCTAAGTCGATAAGTGGACCTCCTGGAAGGAGATCAATACCCGAGAATTCAGTCGACGAGAATGTTATTTCCATCAGTAGGTCTATGATGAAGTTAAACAGAAATGGAGAAAGTGGACAGCCTTGACGGGCACCACTTGAAGTTGCAAAAGTAGATGACAGTTCGCCATAAGCTCTGACTCGACTAGTAGCGTTCGAGTAAAGAGCCTTTACAAGGTTTATGTACTTCTGAGGTACGCCTTTCAATGACAGACACTGCCACAGAATCTCGCGGTCTACGGAGTCAAATGCTGCTTTTAAGTCAAGAACAACTATCATTGTTGGACGCCGATAAGTATGCCTGTGTTCTAGAACCTGACGAATAGTGAATATGTGGTCGATGCAGCCAAGACCAGGTCTGAAGCCAGCTTGGTTCTCTCGTGTTTGCAGTTCACGAGTCTTAGTTAGGCGTCTGATAATTATCGAGGCTAGTATTTTAGATACTATATTAGTTTAACTAATCCCTCTGTGGTTGTCACAGGATGATTTTGACCCTTTCTTATATATTGGGACGATAAGTGATTGCGACCAGCCAGATGGAATAACGTCTAACTCCCATATTTTAGCTAAAATACTAGTCAACCCAATCGCTAAAATTGGACCACCATCCTTAAAGACTTCTGGAGCAAATCCATCTAGACCTGCTGCCCTTCCTCGTTTCAGATTACCTATAGCCATTCGAACTTCTGCTAGAGTTGAGGGACCTACTTCAATGTTCCATTCACACTGTCTGGAAATGGACGGCAGTTGTAGAGTAGCCGAAGGCCAGCTGATCTGTTCTCTGATGAGTGTCATCTTTTTCCGAAATAGTCTGACTTACACTTGACTTAATAATTCCAGTTTCTTTTATTAGTCTGTAGAGCTGTCTGGTGTTCCCTATAGTCGTCGCCTTTTCCATCTCTTTTGCTTTCGTTGCCCACCACTGCTCACGGTCTTTTCTTAGACTTTTTCTTAACCTAGATCTGATTTGTTGTCGCTCTTCATCATGTTCGGAACCTGATGGGACGAGTTTGCGAGAATCCATCAGTGTGATAGACTTTGAAGAAATCCACTAGTTCGTTGTAACTCTGTGGTTTAAGTCACTAATAGATTTCATTGCTGTTTCCACAGCTGTTTGTATGGCTTTCCAAGCAACATCTGGGTCAGCCTCGTTTGCAGAACTACCTAAGTGTGACCTCAGTTGTTCCTGGAACCTACTTTTGGTTTTCTCGTTACTCAACTCAGTTCTAATGGGTCTTTTTAATGTGGCTTTTTTGCGTCCAGTGAGGCGCAAGCAGATGCGTGCCCGTATTAGGGCATGGTCGGAGTCCAAGCAGGTACTCCAGAATGAGCGACAATCTTCTACCGACCCTCTCCAACTATGACTGATAGCAATATGGTCTATTTGAGTCCATCGTTGGTTTGGTGTAGGGGTCGCCATGTTAGACGATGTCTCTCCTTATGCTTAAAATTTGTGTTTGCTAAAAATAAACGATTGTCTCAGCACAGTTGCAGCAGGCGATCACCATTATCTAATCGTTGTGCCGGAATACTAAAATACCCACCTAAATGCCTTTCTGTTTGGTTTAAACTACCTATCTGGGCATTAAAGTCACCTGCCACGAGTACTATGTCTGAACGTTTAGCTTTCTGAAGAAGTTCAGAGAGCTTTCTGTAAAATTCATCTTTCACTTCACCTGAACTGCAGTCGGTGGGAGCGTAGGCAGAAACGACAAAAAGGCAACGACGTGTGTCCCTATCCTTCCGAGTCCTTACGGAGCCGTTTAGCCGAACAGCACATAGACGACTGTTGACGAGGATCCACTCCAACAGTGCTTGTTCCGCCCTCATGCTTAGTGCTATGCCTACACCTGCCAGTCCACGAGAACTGACCATCGGGTCACCAGATACACGGAGGGTGTATTTCGTTGACTCTCCGTTTTGCCGAGGTGAGGTCGAGTGAATGATCACACTGGAATCCTGTATGCGTGTTTCGGAGACACAGCACACATCAATGGAAAGAGACTCTAGGGTTTTAGCCAAGGAAGCCTGCTGACCGATTTGACATAGGGTGCGTACGTTGAAGGCTCCAATGTGTAGTTTGGAGCGAGGTTTCAGTAGACCTGGAACAGTGTTTTGAGCACTAGAATCGTTGGCTGTGGTGACACTTGAGGAGGAAGCCGAAAGAGGAAGTTTAGAGTTGAAAGTCGATGTAGGAGGAATAATAGGAATTGAAGAGGGAGGTTGATTATGAATACAGTGGTCTTGAGTGCTGTTAGAGGTATGAGGGCGGTTATCACTTCCCGGTTGCCCACACCGAGGAAGGGTTCTTCTGGAGGTACCTGAAAAGGAAATTGGATTAGAGGTGGTCTCAGTGACCTGGGAGCGTGACCGCAGTGCCCAAGGGACAACTGCTTGAGGCCGGTCGCGCACGGCCTTTTCGTGAGAGGTTTTTGACGTGTTAGCTCCGTTCTTCAAAGGGCCTTACCACCGGAGACGGATACCCGTGAGGTAAGGCGAGGTGTGCATTTTTAGGGTCGACCTTTTCTAACCCCACCCCTCCTTGTGGGAAGGCAGCATCGCTGTCATGCTGGTTGTCTGAAGGAAACACCTTACTGCTGTCACACCTCTGTACAGTCAGCAGTACGACTTCGCCTTCGAACCTTAGGTTTGTTGCTTTTAGTCTTACCACTCTTCAACCGACCTGTCTGACATGGTAGGACCTTGAGGAACAGTTGTTCCAGCCAGTATAGCTCGGTTGCTTCATCACGATAGGCAAGCCCGACCACCACGTCAAGGTAGCAACAACGGTCGGGTAGCTTTAAAACAACGATGGGTTGATGACAATATGTTTTGAATGGTCAATGTTGACCGAGCATGTCAATAGGGAACTGAAGATATATTGATGCGTCCTAGTTTTTATCCATCATAAAAGTTCCAAATATCTCGAATAGAAAATTTTTGAAAATTGTATGATGAATTAGCACACTGATCCACGATTCCCAGACTCCAAGACAGTTCTCTGTGTACAAAGTAAAATCCTGACGTGGAACCCAAATAATGTTGTAAAAATTCATTTTCCATTCTAGCATATGCACATCAATAAACCCATCAGAAGTTGATAGAATCCATAAAGCTGTCTACGAAATCCAATACTAAGCGTCAAACCTACCTTTGGTAGCTCACATCAGTACTTCTCAGATAACCAATTCACCCAAATAAGTAATACAGCCAAGATACCTAAATATTTCACCCCCCCCCCTCCATTTTTGGACTAGATTTCAGTGCGAAACCATCATCTTGTTGTTAGCTTGTATGAACATACGGAATCTAATCAACCTAAAATATGGAGACAGAATGCTTTGCGAAGGGTACTTTCAAGAATACAGCAGGTAGATTGACTAATCAAAATAACACAAACTTAAAATATATGTTTAAACAGAGTTGTCATGTTTTTCAAATTGTGTGGTTATTTTTTTTCGCACAATGTAATGTTCTTATTATTAAAATTACTCATTCATTTAGTGATCGTTGCACCGATCCCCGTAAGACTTGCAGCAAAAGATTACTTAGTTCGGAATGTAAACCCAACTTTACTAAAAGGTTTGACAGAACTGTGCAAACAAAAACCTAAGGATCCAGTAGTAAGTTGATATTTCTTATCGTATGGGCTTATTGATTTTTCCGAATATATTTTCGAGCTCACGTGATAGCATGTAATAAATACAGGATCATAAAGTTCTCATGGTTTTAAATGAACCTGGACTGTTTTTGTTAGGAGCTTTAATTTCTTGCCGTTGATTTACTAGACTGAGTTAATTAATCACTGAAACATTTTTTAATATCGAAATTTATTGATTCATAAGTTTGCTTTTATTCTAGTATAGACTTAATAAACACTAGAATGAAGTATGTACCTAGTTAATGGATTCCAAATACTGTTGAATTTAAATTCTTAGTTCCAACAATGGCCACAATTAAAATAAAAGTTTGGATAAAATAATGGTAGTACTCGGAGTGGTAAAATTGAATGTGGAAAGTAAAGCACACCGGGACTGACACAATTATATTGGATATGATACTCTCATTTTGTAGGTAATAGACGATTTCGCGTTCAGAACTACGACAGCGTAAAAAAACAACAGATGACGTAATGCTTTTTTTGTTTAGAAATTCAGCATTCAGTAATATCACATTGTTCTTTGACATTAATGTAATCAACGAGGCCTTTAAGTCGCCAAAAACAATTCACGGATAAGATTATCTTACTGTTGTTAAGTTTTATATGAATATTCAACTTCAATGATCTTTTAGGTGCTCAGTTAAATGGTAAGTTAATGGGCCACTGGGATGCCATATTTTGTTTAGACGCATTGTGAGGCCCTTTATCTGTGCATTGATGTTTCAGTGTAATTAGATTTCGACAAATTGGTTGACCTTTTACTTGCAAAATGATTTTATGCTTGTGAATAGCTCAATGACATGTACCTGATTCATTAGTAAGAGAATAAAATAAAAATACAGCTCTCCTCAAAACTCAATAATTTCACGTGGAATTTCAGTAAAATATTTCCGTCTACCTACAATTTCGTAAGTTAAAATATCCCAATGATAAGGACATATTAAATTGCTCCAAACATTGTTCAACTAGGTTCCTTTCACCAGCTTCCCGATTACCATATAACTGTGGTCGGTTCCGTATACTATTTTGATCATGTTGTTCAAATAAATTAAATTCCAGTTATCAGTTGAGATTGATTTTAACGCTGTTAAGCCACTGAAGATAGATGTTCATTTCATAAAAATTGAGTATTATTACTTAACGTCTCCTTAATCATGTACATAAGAGACTTGAAACTTTAAACATTTGACATTGAATGGTTTTTATTGATAACAAATGCTTGTGTTTGATTTTCTGCTTGCCTAGCTTTGGCTGGCCGACTGGCTGCTGGAAAATAATCCAAATAAACCTCATCCCATCGATATGGTCACCTCTTGAAACACTAATAAGAAAATTTCAAAGAACGTATGAAGGATTATGAGAGTGCAGAGTTTTCATAAGAACCTATAGTCATATCTGAAAATAAACATATACTTCGTTTTGTTAAATTTCTTCATAGTAATGGATGTGAAGCGGTAGTGGGTTGCAGTCTAGCGTGACGAGTTCCGTGTTACCTGTAATGTATTTACGAACTGACTACTGAGTGAAAGCACATCAATGGTGCTTAATTTATATAGGAGTACCAGTACTTGAATACTTTGTAATCATGAAGTAAATAGGTTGCCAAAACACTGTAACTTGCTAGCATGTTCGGAAGTGTACATCTATGGATATAGTTAAACCACTCATAAGCATTTCGAAATTTTACCTTAAATCGACTTTAATTTAGCCGAAGAATTCAGTGGCATTTGCAGTTTTACTATCAACTAGTTCAACGGATATACTTGGAGTTATGAGACACTATTTCATACTCTTTTTAAAAAATAGTTTAAGAGGGGATTCGCCCTCTTGTCCATATAATCAAACTTTTATTACTAATTACAATCATATATTCGTATGAAATCATTACTAAACATACCTTACCATGCGACTGAGAAACGTCCTATAGAATTCCTGGGACCACTTCACTAAAGACGTTGCAAAACAATGCGAAAGATAATTGTTAGGATGCCAGTAAAATGGAGAATTAGAAAGTTGATGAGGAATTTATGGTATCACTTGATGTGTCAGCATTACTCACGAATGTACCCTTAGTGAGAACAGGAGATTATACATCCGTAGGATAACTGATAGTACTGAATATATTGTATGATACAGATATATATATACGGATATATCTAAAACGTACTCTAGTAGCTACGAACAAACTAGTGATCGTAGATAGAAGATTGTGAACACACATAAAGGCAATATATTAGAATTACAATAAAGTGCACAATTTCACAGATTGAAATCATGAGTCAGTTGAAGCTAGACCACCATTGAAAACCTGGAAGCACTGGACGGCCGTTTCGTCCTAGTACGGGACTCCTCAGCAGTGCGCATCCACGATCCCGCACCATGCGGAGCTCGAACCCAGGACCTACTGGCTTCGCGCGCGAGCACTTAACCATTAGACCACTGAGCCGGCATCCAACGGTGTTAATGTCTAACTTCAACCAATCCACGAAGTTGCGCCACCGTTCACCATTGTCTAGGACGAAACGGCCGTCCAGTGCTCTCAGGTTTTCAATGGTGGTCTAGCTTCAACTGACTCATGATTTCATTCTGTGAAATTTCTAAAAATCTCCACAAAACCCATTTTGATAAAATGCACAATTATGAACAAATCAGTTATCCTTTTATATATAAAAAAATCACATTTACAATAGCTTAAGTAGAATTCTAAACTATTGTACTTCACTTAACAAGGGGTTCGAATGTTTATTGAATATGTACCATACTTCGTATTGGGTGAGGCTACTGCGTTATCTGGGATAGATTATTTTTATTATAAGTAAATGGGATTGGAACGAAATTAGCTGGATCCTCAAAACTCATTTGATTAGTGTGGCTGTTATGTACATTTGGACAATCCATATTCACTGTGCGAGTGATGAATTTGGCAATATTCTTTAGTAAACGTCTCAAGGATAGTTGAAAAGTATTTCTTTGATAGCAACCTGTAAGCACTCCATGTTCGAACAAACATATCTTCCATCAAGCAACTTTGCCGGTTTCATCAGTACGAGAAGGCATAACACACATTTATGAACTGGGAAAGATCATTCATTCGCCTTTTCAGTTCGTTGAGCTTTGTTGCACGAATAGAACCGGTTGAAGTTTTCAGGGATTAGACGAAATTTTTTATTTAAACATAAAAATAGAGATATCTCGAAGTGAACAAATCTTTGCATTTCCACTAATCAAGTTTCTGGGTAACTTATCTGAAATGTTTTCAGCCAATAAAGTTGCACTTTAAGTATTCTTAAAATACAAGTACAGATTCGTACTATAGGTTGTTGCAGAGTTAGTCGGATTTCAGCGATCTCAACAGGAACTAGTCTTAGGCGACCAATAAATACCAGAGAGTGATCAACATATATAGACCATAGTCACTGACTGAAATATCACAAGTCATAAGTGAATAATTATCATTTTGATCTAAGAAATACAACCACGGCAGATAGGAAGTTTACGTCCCGCAATACTTGACATAGAAACCTAATTATGTTCTATCAAAAGATTTGAACCTATTAAATCATTTCACTGAAATAGTGGATTCGATACTACCAATATCGAAGAAAAAATAAACACACATCATTATTTTTGAATGTGAAACGAATTACTTGGTCGTAAATAAAAAACGATGTATTTATTCTTTGTTAATATTAGGATTAATAGTCAAATCTAAATAAAGAGGTTTATTATAACAGGTAGCGAAATGAGTACTGATGCGATAAATAAATCCATCTTGCCAAATTCGAAGAGTTTGGCATTACCAGATGGGTATGATTTCAGCGAGTCTACATTATAATAATTTGTCATCATAGGTGATAAAGTTGAAGATGTATACCGCGTGTTAAAAGAACTTAATACAAGTCAAAAGCACATTTCTCTTACATGTGAAGTAGAGAAGAACAACCAACTTCCTTTTCTAGACATACTGATGAGTAGGAGATGACGGTTCCATCCAACGTTCTACATATAATATCTTAGTTTCCATAGTCACTGCCTAATTCATTACGAACGTGGATTAATAAAGGACTTATTCAATAGAATCTATCGTATTTGTACTAGCGATATTACTGGAGTAGAGACGAAGCTCTTGACTGATACGTTGATGAATAATGGTTATTCATTGAAGTTCATAAACCGGTGGAAGGGTTGCAATACGATTAGATGTATGACGCCTCTGGTACCCAAAAAGCTAGTTTACATTATGTTACCATTTAGAGGCGACACAAATAGTCTCATGTTGAAACGGAGACTTAAATTAGCCATCAACCGAACATTTTATGCAGCCCAACCTGTCATTATTGGAAAGACAAGGTCTGTCTCACCAAAAGTCCAAACAACACGTAAGCGATTGTGTCACATCCTATTGTGTCTATCAATTTACACGTATGTGCGGAAACGCGTACATAGGGAGGAGCAATCGTGATTTGCAATTAAGGGTGGGTGAACACATACCAAAATGGCTACAGAGACAAATGAATTCCAATGGTCAAATAAGATCACCGGATAGACAGATATCATCCTCCATTGCGAAACATTTGATTGAGACCGGTCATAAGTTTGACATCAAATCAGCATTTGTAGTGTTATACAAAAGCCTTAGAGGACATAAACTAAGGTTTAGTGAAGCCTCGGCTATACGTAAACTGAAACCCTCTTCATGCGTTCAAAAACAATTTGTCCTTAACTCACTCTGGTAATACTGACTTATTATCCAGAGTGGTAATCACATTGATTTTGTGTAATTTATTATTTTGTTACGGTTTACCTTTAATCTGTCTAGCTGGCCTTTTAATTTTCATATAAAAATGTCTTAACAAGTATATGTGTAATCAGATTGTTCAAAATGTATTGCGCAAATATATCACATAATTCTGATAAACTTCGTCTTCTCATTGCATTATCGTAGTTGACTTAGTTATTCTAGAGCATCTGATCCATGTTAGGAGAATAGGAGTAATTAGGAACCATTCAATTCTTGGTGTATTTCATCATAACTTATAATTTTATTCACTTTATTGCCTTTGTATTATATTCTAGGAAATGTGAAAAACAAACGGATTCACCCTATTTTAAACTTAGTCAGTTAGTCGACCAAAACTGTAAGCTTAATGTATGTGTTTAAATAACGACTTAAATAATAATATCAACGAGAATGCAAATAATGTTTGTGATTGTAGAAAAAAAGGTTTCAAGTAGCTACTAGCAAATCTGCCTAGGTAGATAAGTGACATCTGGTGCTGTCAAAAATGAAAGTATACTTCAGCATCCAGTTCATACTAACTTTACTTATTTATTTGAACACATAAATATTGATACAAAAGGGCACCGAATACATATGAACCACACAAGTCACCTGATTTGTGTATAGGCTGTGATACTGCCCGGGTGCCCAGATCGAAGCAGGTGATTTTCTTAAGGAGCAACACCCGGAGCCTTTGACCTAGAGGTTCAATCCACAAGGTAGTGGAGCAACGTTAGGAAACACGACCCCATGATAGCTGGTGACCAACAAAAGCTTCGTACGCTATTCGTTCTTTCACGACTCTGGGATCCATGTGCGCCATTGGTTTGAAATCACGGTTTTCCAACTCCCTAGGTGAACGTTCTATGTTCATCGACCCGGTTAAAGCACCAGAAATTCGTTTCTCGTCCTCTCAATTTCGTAAACACCGCCGCCACGAGAAAGCAGTGAGTAGGACTTCATTGGAAGTGGCTGCATATGCGTGGCTATGTGAGAGAATTTCGAGAGGCAGAGCGGACTCTCCCCACCTCAGCCGAACCAGGACATTTGGGAGCGATTCATAATAAACACAATTAATATATAATAAGCGAAAACTACTGAAAATCTGTGACTTGTGGATAGAGCTTCGAAAATATATAAATATACAAATGCATATAACTTAGTATTAGGAATCACATGTTGCAGTCATAACTGGATAGTTTTCGATAAAAACATTATTAGCATCTAGATTGGAAAGTATGTAAACTGTCAGAAATGTCAACACAGATCACGTGACTCATGATAAAGTGAAATACTCTAATGCGACAGCAACGAACGCACAAATGTGAACAAATGTCTACTAGCAGCCATAATATTTACTTTATTGGAGTGCATTAAATCAAAATTATTAAGTACAGTTACGAAAAACAATATGAAATCAGTGAAAGTAAATGTAGAATTAAGGAGACAAAACACTACATATTCATGCATACCTACAAGAAGGTTTATCCCAAATATATACAAATTCATCGAATCAAGAAATTACACAGCGATATCTTGGAAAATATGCAATCGAAAAATGGAAGTGCATGAAAACAGTGTTCGAGGATAACACGAATATGACTGAAAAATCTGTCCATCGAATTAAACAATGATGTTAGTTCAGTGCAAACCACATTGTTTGCATAGCACACATAAGGAAGGATAAAGTACTTCAATCCACTCATCCTCAGCTTCATTCCAGTCAAAACCTAATTCGGATAATCCGTACGTTCTAATGATCTCCACATAGAATGGGGTATCTTTCAGACAAATGGGTAATGGCACGGACAAACAAGATCTGTGAAATTTTCCATAGAAAGGAGTAAAAAAATTACGTTGGGGTTTATCGTATGGATAATTAATTTGTACAAGTTTTCAAATCGAGAGACAAAAATGCTTTAATTATTTCCATGTGCATAAGTGAAAAGATATCTCTATAACTCATTGTAGAATTATCAAACGATTTAGTTGAAACTCTTTCATACTAGCAACGATGTACGAACTGAGTCACACCTACAACGCCGGACAATCTTTGCAGAACAGCGTCTAAACTATAATTTAAGCCTGTTGAGAATATGCGATCCCCAACTCAAACTTATAAGCAAATCAATATCAATTAGGTTAAAATTCTACTTCAGTAAACCATTATTCAGACTGATGAAGATAGTTTACGGGATTTCAGTAGATTTTTACGATGATTTTTCTTCTCATATAGTCTAATTATTTCCCATTGAAAAATAACTGACAAACTTAATGTTTTTTAACTGATTACACTGCACTAACATCAAAAAGCTTAATCTCCAAAACTGTTGTGTTTACTCTGTTAGCGGGCAGAAAAATAGAGAGGATAAGAAAGTTTCGTTAACAATATTTAGGTCGGAGTAGCGCAAATTATTGGCACAGTGCACAGACGTATTAAGACCACACTTGTAAAGCATCTTATTAGCTTCTGATGCCTAAGTCCCAGTCAGATACACTAGATTCAACAGGATTCTGAAGGAGTACATAGGACTGATAAGAATCCCAACTTGAACTTGAATAACCGAATGTTCGGAAAACTGTCATACTTTTTAAAAAATATGATGATTCATCCTGTTTGTTAAATTTTATTATATGTGTAAAAATGGAGTCCATTAATACCGATTTATAATTCTTAAACCCAAATTCTCAAAAGAACAGCTTTTTGGCTATAAACCTAGACAATGCAGTCCGAATACGTAGAGATAGTGATGGTAAAAAGCATTATAAACATCTCTAGTGAAAAAAAGTTATCAAAACTTAAAACGTAAGACGATGATGTAAGACTTGTCTCCACTGCTACCACATTCAAAAAACATATTGACTACTATGTTTGCCCTAACAGATAAATTAGCTCTGAGAAGTATACTACTGTTATAATTTTCTCTTATTACGACCCAGCTATTCCTGTTACTTAGTATTCTTGGACACCAATTCACTCGACAAGTCCCCAAATTAGAACACGGTTGAACAGGAGCAAAATTATATTCCAAATAAAAAGGGTAGATGGAAGAAGCACAATAAGAAAAATGTTAGTATATGTATAGTTTTACATGAGAAGACTCTAGAGTCTTTTCCAAATATCGACAAGTGCTGATTGCATAAAAAACAGCCAATCAGGGTGCACCATAACTATCGTGCACGTAACACGCTTTAATTTAATCTATGTCCTCTTAACAACCACATAGACCATTACATATCTAGATGTATTTCGTTGGACAAATTGGAGCGAACTAAGGCTTCTAAATGAGACTAACACATATGATAACAAAATAATCTGAGCTGTGCAGGAAAGTAGCACCACAATCACAATAATAATTTCGTATGACTTAATATATATACGTCGGTTACCCGTCGTGGAGGAGCATTAACCGTCAACCAGCATTCTCCACCCAAATCTGTCCTAGGCAGTCCTTTCCAGGTGTTCCCAGTTGCTATTCACTCTTTTCATGTCGGCTTCCAATTCTCGACTCAGTGTGTTATTTGGCTTCCATTTTTTCCGTTTCCCTTCAGCATTCCAAGTTGGCGCTCGCCTTGTGAGACAGTTTGATTATTTTCGCAATGTATGTCCCATCCACTTCCAGCGTCTTTTCCCAACTTTCTCTTTAGCTCAAGGCTGGTTTGTTCACTCCCACAGTAGGCTGTTGCTGATGATATCCGGTCGGCAGAGATTCAGTATCTCCTGTAGATAATTGTTTATAAATACTCGTACATTTTTGGTAATGGTTGCAGTTCTCCACACTTCAGCTTCATACAGCACAATTGTTTTGGCGTTCGAATTAAAGATTCTGGCTTTGATATTGGTTGACAGTTGTTTTGAGTTCCACATGTTCTTCAATTGTAGGAATACTACCCTTGCTTCTCCAATCCTTGCCTTTACGTCTACATCAGATCCTGCTTGTTCCTCAATCATACTCTCCAGGTATGTGAAAGTTCCGACTTCTTCCAGAGCCTCTCCATCAAGTTTGATTGAGTTAGTGTTCTCCGTGTTGTATTTGAGGATCCTGTTTTTTCTCTTGTGTATGTTGAGGCCTTCTGGTGCAGTGGCTTTTGCCACACTAGTTGTCTTGACCTGTAGTTGTTTTCATGTGTATGGGATAGAAGAGCTAGGTCGTCTGCGAAGTCCGAATCGTTTAGTTGCATCCAAGCTGTCCATTGTATTCCGTGCTTCCCCTCAGATGTAGAGGTTTTCGTAAACCGGCTGGCCTATTCAAGGGTTCTTCAAAGTTCTCTACCCATCAGCTCCTCCGTTCTTGGATCTCAGTGATCGGCTTGCCTTCGTGCTTGACCGGTCTCTCTGGTTTACTATATTTCCCCGCTAGTTTCTTCGTTGTCACATAGTTGTTTCATATTTCCTTCTCTTGAAGCTTTTTCCGCCGTCGTTGCTAGCTCTTACCCACATTTCCGGTGTCAGCTCTAATGCTCCTCTTCACCTGCTTGCTTGCTTCTGTGCATTCAGTTTGTGCTTCGACTTTCCCTAATGTTCTTGTTCTTCGTTTCTTGAATCTTGTCCAGGGTTTCCATAGAGATCCATTTCTTATGGTGATGCTTGTTGCGGCCCAGCAACTCCTGACACGTTGAGGTTAGTGTTTCTTTAATCCGTTTCCAGTGGTCTTCCATAGCAATTTCTTCTTCTTTCAGTAGATCTTGTAAGGCTTTGAACCTGTTGTGGAGAGCTATCTTGAATTCGTTGAGATTGTTAGTACCTCGAAGGAAGGAAGGCTGTATTGAACCTTTTTTGATGCTGCTTTCCCAGTTGTCCATTGCTTCCTTAACTTCAATTTGATCTTGGCCACAACGAGGTGGTGATCTGGAGCTATGTCAACCCCTTAGTTCACACATCTTCCATTGGCCTTCTGAATTTTATAGTTATGTAAATGTGATCGATCCGGTTCTCTGTAGTATGAATTGGTGATAGCCATGTAGTTTTATGCACAGATTTGTGGTGCGATATGGTGCCACCTATAACCATTTTGTTGAATGCACATGGATTCGCAAATCTGTCACCATTCGCGTTCCTTTCTTCCAGTCTATGTCGTTCCATGATGTCTTCACATCTGGTGTTGTCCATTCCGACTTTGGCGTCTGGGTATTCCATCAGGATGGTCAGGTCCTTTCCTAAGCACTTTGCTACGATTATTTGCGACTTCTCATAAAACTGATCTTTATCGTCGCCGTTGCTATCATTGGTGGGTGTATATCATTGGGTAACATTCATTGTAATCACTACCCTCTTTGTTTGGAAAGATTCATTGATGGTTCTAGGTCCATGAGATTCCCATTTTATAAATGCTTAACGTGCTTCTTTGGACAGCATCAGAGCAACTCCATGAGTGTGTGGGGCAGTTTCCTCTTTGTGACCAGACTAAAGCAACATCTCTCCCGAATCCATAGTCTTCTGTTCAGTTTGGATTCAATCGGTTTCACTTAATCCGAGCATAGCCAAGTTGAAAATCCTCATTTCCTCGGATATTTGATCAGTCCTTCCGGCCTTCCACTTTGTCCGAACATTCTGTGTACTTATATTAATTGTTGCTCTGGTTGTTAGAAGGGGCATCGGTCTCGTGACTTCCGAAAAATCTCGGTTTTCACCATGAATGAAGATATTTCAACGTCCAAGGTAGAGTTTAAATGGTTAATATTGTGTTTTTTGTTGGCGTATTTTAGAAAGGTTGTTTCCTACGGGATATGGTTGCTGACCTAATTCCCAACCCTCCCCCTTTAACCAGGCTTGGGATCAACAGTAACCCTTGAAAAGCTACAGGAGCAGTTATATATATATATATATATATATATATATATATATATATATAGGTTAGCCCTGACTTGGAATCCTGAAGGTGAAAAAAAGAGAAAGCCGGAGGGACACATTACATCGAGAGTTGGAGGCAGATGTCAAAGGGGTGAACAGAAAGAAATGAGGAAGAGAGCACATGACACAGTTGGTTGGAGAATCCTGGTCGGCAGACTATGCTCCTCCACGAGGGATAACAGGCATAAGTTTGGCCGCCTCTCAGGACGAATCAGACTTCCAAGATAAGCGAAGTTGTCGACGCGTTCGATTACTTCACTCTCTATCCTGAGTTCAGGTGTTGACGCAGGCCAGTCCTGAAGCAACAATTTCCATTTAGAAGGGAAGAAACGCATCCCAAACATCCTGGCATTGTTGCTCAGTGTTACCAAAACACTCTGCACTTTACCGGTGTCCTCACCGACCATATCATCTGCGTATTCTAAATCAACAGGTGAACCTCCTGGTAGCAGATAAATTACCGGAAATTCAGCCGATGAAAACGTTATTTCTAGCGGTAGGTTTATGATGAAATTGAACTAAATGGACATAGTGGACAGCCTTGCTGGACACCACTTGTGGTTGCAAAATCAGATGACAGTTCGCCATAAGCTCTAACTCGACTGATAGTGTTCGAGTAAAGAGCCCTTACAAGGTACACCTTTCAATGACAGACACTGCCACGGAGCTTCTCGGTCTTCAGAGTCAAATGCTGCTTATAAGTCAAGAACAACTATCATTGTCGGACGCCAATAAGCATACCTGTGTTCTGAAACCTGACGAATGATAAATATGTGGTCGATACAGCAACAACCAGGTCTGAAGCCAGCCTGATTTTCTCGTGTTTGCAGTTTACAATAGTATTAGATCGTATATACTATACGTTATTATATCAAACATGAAACCCAAAAATGTTCAACAAATCGATTATACTCTAATTATCACTCGGAAAATGGTTGGTAATTTAACAAAGTCATGAGGTCATCCTGAAATTTTACCCTTTTATTGTCTGCGTTGTGACTTACTTCCATGACAACACGTAAGGAAGTTCACATCTCTGTTCGGAACTATTATTCATGAAAGCACACGAGACCAATTTGGTCACATTCAAATCCTTCCCACACCTCTTAATACCACTGTTATCTCCCGAACTAACCCTTTTAACGTCCTTTTATCACCTCGTACCGCTAGAGTGAACGATTCGAGTACGTGGAACATTATTCCTGGTCTCCTGAAACCACACTCTAAACTTCATGTTGGAGCTTATAACGTCCGAACACTGCGCCAAATAGGACAACAAGCTTCCTTAGCTAGGACTTTAGAATCTCGCGCCAATGATGTGTGCTGCGTTTCCGAAACGCGCATACAGGATCCGAGTAGCGCCATTCTTTTGACATCACCATGCCAAAATAAAGAACCAACTCGATTCATACTTCGTGTAGCAGGAAGCCCTAATGCTGCTTCTAGTGGACTCGCCGGCGTAGGTATAGCATTGAGTCCTAGAGTAGAACAAGCTCTCTTAGACTGGATCCCAGTACAGTCGTTTGTGCGCTATCCGACCAAACGGAACAATAAGGACTCGGAAAGATATGGTGTCGTGGCTCAAAGAACAGATAATGGCGACCGTCTGTTACAGCTATGCTCAGATAACCGCCTCTTTCTTGCAAGTTCTAACTTTAAGCTTAAGGAAAAACATCTTTTGACATGGCGACCCCCTAATTTGTCCCAACGTTGGACCCAAATAGATCACATCGCTATCAGCCATCGATGGAGGGGCTCGATAGAAGACTCGCTCATTCTGGAGCACATGCTTAGATTCAGATCATGCTCTAGTGCGAGCGCGTATTTGCCTGCGTCTTACTGGACGTAAGAAAGACGCTGCAAGGAAGCCTCTTAGGGCCCTACTTAATGATAGTCAAACTAAGAGTATATTTCAGGGACAACTAGGAAACCAGTTAGGCAGCCATGTAGATGATGCCCACCCCGAGGCAGCATGGAATGATATCCGAAAAGCTGTGGAAACAGCAGTGATATCTGCTAGTAAGGTAAACCATAAGGTTAAGGAGAAACGCTATCTCAGCAGCATCTACCGCATTGATAGATGCTCGGAAACTCATTCCAACAGGCTCCGAACATTACGAAGAGCGGAGTCAGCTTAAGCGCAAGCTGACAAGAAGCCTACGCAATGATCGCGAACAGTGGTGGGTAGCGAAAGCAAGAGAAAAGGCAGCGGCAATAGGTAACAGCAGACAATTGTTCAGACTCGTTAGGGAAACTGGTATTAGGAATCCGACCGTTAGTGAAGCAATCTCAGAGAAGATGGATATATTATACATTCTCAATCTAGTAGACTGGATCGATGGGCAGAACACTTTAGGGATCAGTTCAACTGGCCTTCAGCCACATTTCGGTTTCCCACGATCTCCAGTCAACCTGAATGGCAAGTTAATTTAGGTCCTCCGACTCCTTATGAAGTTGAAAAAGCCATAGGAAATCTGAAGCGAGGGAGAGCAGCAGGCCCTGACAGGTTCACTCCTGAGATTTTTAGGGATGGCCGTCCAGTATTAGCAGTAAGATTAACTGAGGCCTTAAGTAGAATTTGGGAACTGGACGTAATCTCATCTGACTGGTCTCAATCACTGATTGTGCCAGTCTATAAGAAAGGACAAAAGTCCTCTTGTGACAATCACAGAGGAATCAGTTTGACAAATATAATATCTAAAATATTAGCTTCAATAATACCTCGACGCCTAACTAAAGCTCATGAAGAGCAGACTAGAGAAAATCAGGCTGGTTTTCGACCTGCACGTGGTTGTATAGATCAGATATTCACACTACGTCAGGTTCTAGAACACAGACACAGATTCAGACGCCCCACAATCGTATTATTTCTCGACCTTAAGGCGGCATTCGACTCTCTGGATAGTAAGGTTCTATGGCAGTGTTTGTCACTGAAAGGAGGACCAAAGAAGTACATTAACCTTATAAAGGCTCTCTACTCGAACACAACTGGTCGAGTGAGAGCTTATGGCGAACTGTCATCAGAATTGATTACCTCAAGTGGTGTTTGTCAGGGCTGTTCACTCTCTCCATTCTTGTTTAACTTTGTCGTTGACGTGCTTTTAGAGATGACACTTTTCTCGGCTAAATTTCCAGGTGTTGAACTTCTACCGGGAGATTCACTTTTTGACCTAGAATATGCCGATGGCATAGTTTTATTTGGTGAAGACGCTGACAAAATCCAGTCTTCTGAACACTATAAGTAACAATGCAAGCATGTTCGGGATGCGAGTTCCCCTCCCCTCGAAATGCATCGACACCCAAACTAATGATAGGGAGTGAAGTAGTTGGGCGTGTCGACCGCTTCACTTACCTTGGGAGTCTCATCAGCCCCTGTGGTCTGGTGTGTGACGAAATCTCAGCACGGATAGAGAAGGCTCGACTAGCCTTTACCAACTTGCGTCATTTATGGCGTAGGCGAGATATCCGTCTATCAACCAAAGGATGTGTTTACTGCGCAGCGGTTCGTTCCGTCCTACTTCATGGCAGTGAAACATGGCCGGTAAGAGTAGAGGATATTCGTAGGTTACTAGTATTCGATCATAGGTGTCTTCGAAACATTGCTCATATATCCTGAGACCATTGAGTAGGTAATGCAGTTGTTAGGAAACGGGTACTAGGTAAGGATGGCAAATCGATTGATGAAGTGGTTAAACTTGATCAGTTGAGATGTCTGGGACACGTGTTACGTATGCAGAACGACCGACTGCCTCGATGTGCGATGTTTTCTGATGTAGGAGTGGGTTGGAAGAAAGCTAGGGGCAGCCAGATCAAAACATGGCACAAGTCCATGAAGTTCACTGACAAGTGGACTGATCCACGTTGGTAGGTGTAGACTACCTGGTTGGGATCTGCGAGACGATAGCAACCGATGGTTAGAGACCTTAAATGACATGGATCAAAATCGTTTGGCGCAGATGCATCAACTCTTCGTGTCCTCCCAAATTCTAATCTTCTGAATTCTTGATGTCCTTTTTTTCCTCTTTCCAAATTTATTTCACTGTATTATACTCCTTGAATAACATCTTCAAACCCTAATGTTCAGTGGTATAGAAATAGGTTGGAAGAAAGCTAGGGGCGGCCAGACCAAAACATGGCACAAGTCCATGAAGTCACTGACAAGTGGACTGATCCACGTTGGTAGGTGTAGACTACCTGGTTAGTATCAGCGAGATGATAGCAACCGATGGTTAGAGACCCTGAATGGCATGGCTCAAAATCGTTTGCAATGGCTCAGGAGCATCCATTCTTTGTGTTCTCCCAAATTCTAATCCCCTGAATCCTCCTTTTCTCTTTTTTTTCTCCTTCCAAATTTATCTCACTGGATTATACTCTTTAAATAACTTCTTCAAACCCTAATTTTTCCGATTACTGCTTATAGTCTTACCGCCTCTATCACTACGGGATTTGAATCGACAACTGCATCTCTGTGCTAATGCGGTATGGCAACTCGAACTGATGTACGTAAGCACGAAGTTCTACGTTGTTACTGACTGACTGACTGCCTGATGGATAAAATCTAACGGTGACTACTTCATTATACAGATCAAAGTAGGTGGAGTACATAAAGGTTCACAAACCAAAAGTTATGGGTTGAGTGCATAAACAATTATATCACATGTCAAATAATTAAACAATAAATGATAAGTGGAACAAGTAACCAAAGCTATTTAGCATGATATGTGAAAATATCTGCTACACTTGTTAAGCGCAACAAAAACCATAAAAAAGTTTGGTTGTCTGTATGTTATTACAAAAATATATTGCTTACCGATGACACGATTTATTACATCGATTACAAAACGCCATTTTCATATGATATGGGCGTGTAGGCCCCTCATTGCAAACTACACAATAACTCGGAATGTGAGTTTCACATACCTATAAGGTGTAGAATAATTTGGTTAGATCCAAATACAATAGTTACACAAAAAGTACAAAAGCCGAAATTTACTGGCCTCCATATATATGTAAGATCATACAAAACTAGGATTCAAAGGGTTAAAATTATATTATTTATGAATACATTAAATGACACAATCTTACCTGACATTGCTCAATGTGTTCGTTTACTTTAGATAAGAAATTTGTCAATTGTACAATCAGTTTCCCATTCAATACTTGACTTATTAAATCCATGGTGAATGTATACGGTTGCTCAAGAAACCACTCAAGACCATATTTCTTAGAAGTTTGCAAATAATTTAGAAAATGATAAGAAAGTTAGTTAACACGAGAAGATTAAATGTAATTAAACTTATGCTGCAGTTGCTGTCTTGACGTGGTGGTCAAGTTTGCCTACCGTAACGACTGAACCGAGCTAAACTTGCTGCAACACATGTTTCTTGAGCATCAAAAGAAGCAACTTAAGATTCGGGAACAAATTCGTCCTGTTTACTGTACTGGGGTGTGTTTCTTTAGAGTAACCAGTGTCTATAGCGATGCTGCCTTCTCATAACAAAATAAAGTTTTTATAAAAGGTCACTCTAAATCGTCACACCTCACCTCAACCCAAGGATAGGTGTCTCCGCTGGTGAGACTTCTGAAGAACGGGACTAAGACAGCAAAAACCTCTCACAAAAAGACGATGTGTGATTGACCTTAAGCATCTATCACTTGGGCTCTGTAGTCATGGCTTTAGGTCACTAAGATAACTGCTGATTTAGTTCCCATTCCAAGTCATCTGAGAAGTAAAACAGCGCTCTCGTACCTCGGACAGCAGTTCAAATTCTCTTGTTCTGAAGGATTGGTCACATTCACTATCAACATTCATGAACATGTGTTCAGGGATAGTGATGATATTTCAGTTGGTGGCACTATTGAAACACCGATTGCTATTATGTATTACGAATGTAGTCTCAGTGGCTCCCATATTGCCCATTATTTTCCGAACTGAGCAAGAAAAGTGGAGAAGTATCTGGGTTACGATACAAAGATGTGATACGAAAGATAACAACTTAAAACTAAGATCTATCGGTTCATCAAGATTTCCCAGTTAGAGTTCTAGATATGATGCCGTTCAGCAGCTTGAGGCGCTAAGAGATATGAGAGTGTAAGAGCTGGTGGTGATCCTTCTGTAGATTTTTATTCTTAGAAAAGACATGAGCTCTCTTGACTACAACAGTCAGTCAGTCTGGAGGTACCTGAAAAGGAATTTGGATTAAAGGTGGTCTTAGTGACCTGAGAGCGTGACCGCAGTGCCCAAGGGACAACTGCTTGAGGTCGGTCACACACCACCTTGTTATGGGTAATTTTTGTGTTAGCTCCGTACTTATTGAGACCTTACCGCCGGAGACGGATATCCGTGGGATAAGGCGAGGTGTGCATTTTTAGGGTCGACCTTTTCTAACCCCACCCCTCCTTGTGGGAAGGCAGCATCGCTGTCATGCTGGTTGTCTGAAGGAAACACCTTACTGCTGTCACACCTCTGTACAGTCAGCAGTACGACTTCGCCTTCGAACCTTGGGTTTGTTGCTTTTAGTCTTACCACTCTTCAACCGACCTGTCTGACATGGTAGGACCTTGAGGAACAGTTGTTCCAGCCAGTATAGCTCGGTTGCTTCATCACGATAGGCAAACCCGACCACCACGTCAAGGTAGCAACAACGGTCGGGTTGACTACAACAAAGCTCTCTTGATTTTATTTTCAACTGAATCCAATCTTTTATGACATAACGTTTCTGTTCATTTGTTTATCGACTGCGCTATCCTTCTTTTTTTTTTAATCTCTTTACAATATTGTAGCTTCATTTGTCAGGTGCATTTTGTGGTGTTTTTTCACACTATGATGTGCTTAACTGAGTAAATAACAATTTATACAGCATGCGTAAGTGATTACAAGCTTGCTTAAGCAAAGTACGAACTGGGCGTAGAAATATCTTTCTAACTCGCCTTAACTAATAGCCAACAATAAAATCAGCGTAAATCAAGCAATTCTAAATTAGTTAATTGTGTAAAAACATTGGAATTATATATTTAATTTTTTTTAAAAAGAATAACTAGAGGTGTAAATGAAAGATTAAAAGGAATAGAGTCATTGTACTGATCAGAAAAAGTTTTTGTAGTGTAGAACTTTAGGTTTATGCGCGAAATTCAAAAGCCAATCCTACAGTTAGCAATTGATTTGTGAATAGCTTTGTAGGTGATACAATTAGTGCCTATACTGTGTAGCATTCATAAGAAAAGGTTCATTATCCCACTATATAAACTGAAAGTGATATTCTGCTAAAGCGAAATTACAAGAAATAATTTACTCCTGAAGATCTAAATTCTTCCCGAAACATAAATTGATAAGAACTCGTTCCTTTTTACTTGAATTAAGTTTACAACCAAAGTACATCACTACTGAAGTATTGAATAATGAACACTGTAGTACGCAAGCACTTTAAAATAGGGATTTCATTCACGAGGTTTGAGATTGTTTTTCAACCTCCCATCGAACCTTTATATAAATATTCCAAAAATTGTGGGTAATCGTATATATGACCTAATAAAGTACCCAGACATATAGTGGCTTATGAAATGAATGGGTTTTGGTAACGGAAATACTCTGTTTTAGGACATTAAAAACTTATTACAACCCTCAAGGTACATTATATGTCACATAAAACCACCCTATACATTATTTAGTGACAGACTGATTGTCCATTTATATATTTATTAACTAAGAAAGAGTATATAAATTTCTATTTCGCCGAGATTCGGACAATCACTCTTCGAGCTTTCGCCTTACAACATATGTCATGGATGATTTACACATGATATGCTACTTTTTCACATTGTAATTATTGTCGCTTTTATAACTAATGTTGATATTCAACATTTTATTTGTAATTACCCATCGTTAAAACATTTTATACGGTTTTTGAATTCTTTTACTAGTTATTACGTAGTTTGTCAGTTTTGCAAAACAATTTGGACCAAATTATAAAGTTAAATATAATAATTCTGTTTGCCTAGATATCTTACCTATAGCCTCAATAATTCGCTATTGTTTTTTATAAATAATTCTGAAATTTCTGTCGCATAGTTAACAAACTTGCCACCAGTTTATTTGTACAAGTTTCATCATCAATTATAAAAATGAATAAATTAGCATCGAGTTACGATTTAAAGTGAATTAAAAGGACATATTTCTTCACTGAAGTTGTTACTTAGTATCTAAGTAAGAATTCTTAATTTGCGCAAAAGTATGTATTCTTACTTCAAAATCTAAACTGCAGAGTTTTGCACCTGAACATATATTGAAGTATGGTTGTAGTCTGAAAATCCTAGTACGAATAGAACATACTTGTCTGGCCAACGGTTCATGATAATACCACGATACAGGAACGCGGAATAAATGGCGTGACCAAGCATAATTTAGCCACAAATACGCGGTTCGACATACCTATATAAAAGTAGAGAACCATTTACAGTAACTTATTATCCTATGTGACGTTTTTTTTACATATGAAAAGTAAAAACAAGCGACCTATGAACTTAAAATGAGTGGGTTAGAAGTAATGTTTAACTAGACAAAGGATTGTGCTCACAGAGTAACGGTTGTCTTGTCATTAGACTCACGAGATGAACCACAATTCTTGTGGGAGTACAGAAAGACTATTAACCACTTACATGTACAGAAACCGGCTGCAGTCAATCATAGAGAAATGCCCAAGAAAGGACCTAACTATTCTGATGGGAGAACTAAATGCCGAAGTCGGAAAAGACAACACTGGATATGAAGATATTATGGGACGACATGGACTGGAAGAAACGAAAATGGAGAAAGATTTGCAAATCTATGTGCATTCAACAAATTGGTCATAAGAGGCACAATATTTCCACAAAAGCGTATACACAAGGCTACATGGATCCCACCGGACCACACCACAGAGAACCAAATAGATCACATTTGCATCAACAAAAAATTCAGAAGGACAATGGAAGATGTGAGAACCAGGAGAGGTGCTGACATAGCTTCAGATCACCACCTGGTGGTGGTTAAGATTAAACTGAAGCGAAAGAAACACTGGACAATGCGAGAACAGCGTTACGAATGTTCAATACAGTATTCCTTCCTTCGAGGTACTAACAATCTCAACGAATTCAGGATAGCTCTCAACAACAGGTTCCAAGCCTTACAAGATCTACTGAAGGAAGAAGAAACTACTATGGAGGACAACTGGAAAAGCATCAAGGAAGCATTAACCTCAACGTGTCAGGAGTTGCTGGGCCGAAACAAGCATCACCATAAGAAATGGATCTCTATGGAAACCCTGGACAAGATTCAAGAAACGAAGAACAAGAAAATAGCAATTAACAACAGCCGAACACGAGCAGAGAAAGTCAAGGCACAAGCTGAGTACACAGAAGCAAACAAGCGCTTGAAAAGCATTAAAGCCAACAAGCAGTAATACAGGCAAGAACTAGCAACGACGGCGGAAAAAGCTGCAAGAGAAGGAAATATGACGGTGTTGCTGAACCGGATGAAAGACGCAGTAGACACTCAACTTCGAGATCACCAGGCTGGATTCCGTAAGGGTCGGTCGTCCACAGACCAAATTGCGACACTACGGATCATGAGGCGTTTGACAGTGTGGACAGGAGAATATTATGGAAACATCTTCGAGACTACGGAGTTCCTGAGAAGATTGTCAATATTATCCGGAACTCATACGACGGACTACAGTGCAAATTGGTTCATGGATGACAGCTGACAAATGCATTCCAAGTAAGGACCGGAGTCAGATAAGGCTGATTACTCTCGCCCTCTCTTTTCCTTATAGTGGTTGACTGAATTATGAAGACCCCGACATCTGAGGGGAAACACGGAATACAGTGGACAGCTCAGAATCAATTAAACGATTTGGACTTCGTTGATGACCTAGCCCTCCTATCCCATACACACGAACAAATGCAGATAAAGACAACTAGTGTAGCAGCAGCCTCTACATCAGTAGGCCTCAACATACACAAAAGAAAAAGCAGGATCTTCAAATACAATACGAAGAGCACCAACCCAATCACACTTGATGGAGGAGCTATGGAAGATGTGGAATCTTTCAAGGACGAGGAGGTTCAGATGCAGAAGTAAAGGCGAGGATCGGCAAAACAAGGTCCGCATTCCTACAACTGAAGAACATATGGAACTCAAAACAATTTTCAACCAATATCAAAGTGAGAATCTTCAATACGAACGTCAAGGCAGTTCTACTGTATGGAGCTGAAACTTGGAGAACTACAACAACCACAATCAAGAAAGTACAAGTATTTATAAATAGCTGTCTACGCAAGATACTCAACATCCATTGGCTGGATAACATCAGCAATAGCCTTCTGTTGGATAGAACAAACCAACTTCCAGCTGAAGAAGAAATTAGGAAAAGACGATGGAAATGGATAGGATATACATTACAGAAATCACCAAACTGCAATGCGAGGCAAGTCCTAACTTGGAATCCTGATGGGAAGCGTAAAAGTGGAAGGCCAAAGAACACATTACGTCGGGAAATAGAAGCAGTTATGAAAAGGATGAATAACAACTAGAAAGAACTAGAGAGGATTGCCCAGGACAGGGTTGGATGGAGAATGCTTGTGAGCGGCCTATGCTCCTTCACGAGGAGTAACAGGCGTAATTAAGTAATGTATAGAAACCACCGTTTTACTGACGGATCAAACAATTTTACCGACATTTTAGTAAGCATTGAAATTGTGATGTTATTTTGATTATTTAACACGCATCAAATAATTATAGTGAGAGGTTTAAAAGACATCTAAATGCAACTTAACTAACCCAGGAGTGTGTGAGAAATATATTTATTTACTTGAGTAATAAAACTATTAGCAAAATTTAAAATGAAGAATGAGAAGCCTCAACTACTGCAAGCCTAAAGGTCACGAAATGATTAGGAGTGAAAAGATATGTGTATGCAACCAATCTATAGCAGATGATATTATTTACCTGATGAAATTACATACGACTGAGAAAATATTGTTTTTGGAAAGTTATTAAAATCATAAGTACTAACAAAACAAATTTCATAAGCACTTTCTTGTTTTTCAAGCAACTTTGTTCGACCATATTGAATCAAATCTAAGAATATGAATAGACTTACCGGTTTAGGTTCATAATCACCCAAAACAAACATCCAAGCTGGAATTTGGTGAGTATCTCCCCAATGACACCTAGAACAATAAAAATATCCTGAGTAGTAGCATAAACGAGCAGAATCCATAGTGCATGCAGTGTCTGCAGCATAATTCTCTAATACATTTAGCTCACTTGCTTGTTTATCTATCGTTAAGCGTCCGTTTTGAGTTTTGATAAATAAGGATGATGAAATCCGACGACTGACTTTTCCAAATGCCTCCATAACAAACGCGTCATACCATGTTTGGATTGGTTCAGAAGCGCTATGAGAAGCAAAAGCAGCATATTTTTTTAGGTTATCAGTTGATTGATTGGATCCTACTACAGATGGTCCTGTAGAAATAGGTTTCAATAAATAGGTAGGCAAAGACAATTGTTGAGAACTTAGGTAAGACGTCACGTGATCTATAGAGTTGTGTTTTGGTAATATATCTTGAAAAGCTTTTCCAATAAGTACACCAATACCCGTTTCAATGACCTCATTGATCGTTTTACCCAGATTACGTGTATTCAAACGTCCTGATAAAACTGTATATGATGGTGTAAAATCAATGGATCTCATACATTCTGCACAAGTCCATGATTGTAAAGTTAGATCTGCCGAAAGAAAAGATAAGTTGGAAACTTCCAAATGTTTAAATGAAATACGACGTCTAGTATCAAATAAATTAACTCCAGTAAGATGAAACTTTGGATTATTATGAGTGCCGCTTTCACTTTCCGTTCGCAAACGCCGACATCCCATATAGTGTTTAGTACTAGTACCAGGAAAAAGTAATGCACCTGGACACCGACGTGTTAGGCTATTAAGACATCCATCAAAATGACACATAACACCACATGCCTGACAACGTAATATTTTGCCAACCGGACCACGAATTGAGTGCCTACAATATTCGCACGTTCCACCCAGATGACGCATCGCAGAAACACTTTGGAAATCGTGACCACCAGGGAAAGGAGTCTGGTGCATAGATGGACGTGAACCCTCAGGACCCATAATTCGGTAAGGCAAACATGGCAGAGACACCTGAGATAAGCTACGTGATAATAAATATAGCTCTGAAAAACGAGGTGAAGATCCAAAATAACAGGAACTTGGTTTCGTCGACACACCTGAGAACTCCTATCGAGTTAAAAATAATAACAAAGGCTGTAACGAATAAGTAAGCATAGAAAAATGAAATGCAAACCTACTAAATATTTACGTGTTGCTAAAAATTCTAGAAATAAGGGGAAACGTAGATTCGAAAGAATCTTAAATTTAGTGTTAAGGGTAGAGAATTAGGTAAACTAATCACAAACCTATTATTCAGTTTTGCACCATAGTAAAGCTTACTAACTTTGCCTGTAGATATTCTCGAGTTACTGACGGTCCCAAGCCCGGGTAAAGGGGGGGTGGGGCTTGGGGTTAGCGACTCCATCCCGTAGAAAACCAACTCGCTAAAAAACGCTAACCAGAAAAATTAATTCGAACCATTTAAACTCTGTCCTGGAAGTTAGAAAATCTTCAATTAAAAGAGTTATGATGGCTCATGGTGAAAGCCAAGTTCCTTCGGAAGCCACGAGGTCGATGCCCCTTCTAGCAACCAGATCAAAAATTTTTATAGGTACATGGAACGTTCGAACAATGTGGGAAACCGGGAAGACCAGTCAAATAACAACGAAAATGAGGAGATACAACTTGGCAGTACTGGGAATCAGCGAAACCCATTGAACTCAAGCTGCACAGCAAAGGCTAGATACGGGAGAGATGCTGCTGTACTCCGGTCACGAAGAAGAAAATGCTCCACACACTCAGCGAATCGCTCTAATGCTGTCCAAAGAAGCACGAAATGCACTTGTAGGACGGGAATCTCACGGATCCAGAATTATCAAAGCATCATGCAAAACAAAGAATGAGGGGATCACAATGAATGTTATCCAATGTTGTGCACCCAACAATGATAGCAACAACGACAATAAAGATCAGCTCAATGAGAGGCTGCAATCAATCACAGCGAAGTATTCAGGAAATAAACTGACCATCCTGATGGGAGAACGAAACGCTAAAGTCGGAAAAGACAACACTGGATATGAAGATATTATGGGACGACATGGACTGGAAGAAACGAAAATGGAGAAAGATTTGCAAATCTATGTGCATTCAACAAATTGGTCATAGGAGGCACAATATTTCCACAAAAGCGTATACACAAGGCTACATGGATCCCACCGGACCACACCACAGAGAACCAAATAGATCACATTTGCATCAACAAAAAATTCAGAAGGACAATGGAAGATGTGAGAACCAGGAGAGGTGCTGACATAGCTTCAGATCACCACCTGGTGGTGGTTAAGATTAAACTGAAGCGAAAGAAACACTGGACAATGCGAGAACAGCGTTACGAATGTTCAATACAGTATTCCTTCCTTCGAGGTACTAACAATCTCAACGAATTCAGGATAGCTCTCAACAACAGGTTCCAAGCCTTACAAGATCTACTGAAGGAAGAAGAAACTACTATGGAGGACAACTGGAAAAGCATCAAGGAAGCATTAACCTCAACGTGTCAGGAGTTGCTGGGCCGAAACAAGCATCACCATAAGAAATGGATCTCTATGGAAACCCTGGACAAGATTCAAGAAACGAAGAACAAGAAAATAGCAATTAACAACAGCCGAACACGAGCAGAGAAAGTCAAGGCACAAGCTGAGTACACAGAAGCAAACAAGCGCTTGAAAAGCATTAAAGCCAACAAGCAGTAATACAGGCAAGAACTAGCAACGACGGCGGAAAAAGCTGCAAGAGAAGGAAATATGACGGTGTTGCTGAACCGGATGAAAGACGCAGTAGACACTCAACTTCGAGATCACCAGGCTGGATTCCGTAAGGGTCGGTCGTCCACAGACCAAATTGCGACACTACGGATCATGAGGCGTTTGACAGTGTGGACAGGAGAATATTATGGAAACATCTTCGAGACTACGGAGTTCCTGAGAAGATTGTCAATATTATCCGGAACTCATACGACGGACTACAGTGCAAATTGGTTCATGGATGACAGCTGACAAATGCATTCCAAGTAAGGACCGGAGTCAGATAAGGCTGATTACTCTCGCCCTCTCTTTTCCTTATAGTGGTTGACTGAATTATGAAGACCCCGACATCTGAGGGGAAACACGGAATACAGTGGACAGCTCAGAATCAATTAAACGATTTGGACTTCGTTGATGACCTAGCCCTCCTATCCCATACACACGAACAAATGCAGATAAAGACAACTAGTGTAGCAGCAGCCTCTACATCAGTAGGCCTCAACATACACAAAAGAAAAAGCAGGATCTTCAAATACAATACGAAGAGCACCAACCCAATCACACTTGATGGAGGAGCTATGGAAGATGTGGAATCTTTCAAGGACGAGGAGGTTCAGATGCAGAAGTAAAGGCGAGGATTGGCAAAACAAGGTCCGCATTCCTACAACTGAAGAACATATGGAACTCAAAACAATTTTCAACCAATATCAAAGTGAGAATCTTCAATACGAACGTCAAGGCAGTTCTACTGTATGGAGCTGAAACTTGGAGAACTACAACAACCACAATCAAGAAAGTACAAGTATTTATAAATAGCTGTCTACGCAAGATACTCAACATCCATTGGCTGGATAACATCAGCAACAGCCTTCTGTTGGATAGAACAAACCAACTTCCAGCTGAAGAAGAAATTAGGAAAAGACGATGGAAATGGATAGGATATACATTACAGAAATCACCAAACTGCAATGCGAGGCAAGCCCTAACTTGGAATCCTGATGGGAAGCGGAAAAGTGGAAGGCCAAAGAACACATTACGTCGGGAAATAGAAGCAGATATGAAAAGGATGAATAACAACTAGAAAGAACTAGAGAGGATTGCCCAGGACAGGGTTGGATGGAGAATGCTTGTGAGCGGCCTATGTTCCTCTATGAAGAACAACAAGCGTAAATAAAGCCTACTGTTTATGATATATTATATTTTAGTATTTTATGTATCTGATTATGAATTTTACAGTCCGTATAGATGGTGGTTCGAGGTGGTCGACAGGAAGCCCGGGACCCGGGTTTCGTGCTACTTGGCACTCGTCAGTAAGGTGTATCTGTAAGCTTAAGGGAACTGGTGCTCCCTGACGGATTCGATCCTGTGTCACCTAGCTTCACAGTCAGAGACGTTACCACTGAGATATCTGGACCGCGACCGACCTCCTGTAGGACTGAGATGTAATCACAATTGATTGATCACTGGGTGGTGATCAATGTTATGTGTGTTAAGTCATTATTAGTGCAGATCGCAAAGCACCACCCAGTGATCAATCAATTTTGACAGTCCGTATAATACAGAATATTTTAGGCACTCGTCTGGTATTACTGGAGTTCTGATTGGTAGTTTGGGGAATAGACTAGAATACTGAGTGGCCTGTCGATCGTTTTCGGCACACACACTAACGGTGCTGCCGGGATAATTGTTAACGGAGCATAATCAACGGAAAATCCAAAATATTAAGTATTCCCAACTTCTAATCATATGTAAATTAAATAACTCGATTCATGAATACGTTACATTGACATACTGAATCCCAATTTTTTACCACATTGGTGGTTATTGACCTTCTCCAACAGAAACGACCAAATAATAACCTTAACGCTGATATTTCAATGAACTTTCACACATACTGACGAGTACTATAAAGTGAAATAAAAATGTAAAACGCAAACAAAACATGCATAGTACGTCAGTTCTTTGTGGAAACGCCAATGAAAACCATAGAACAAAGGCTCTGGGAGCAAACGTGATACGATAACTTCCGGCAACAACTTAATCATGTGATGGCAGTGAAAAATCGGTCGGATACAGTTATACCAAGCATTGTACTAGTGAGAAACAAAATGAATAGGCATTACTCAGAATGCCTGACAGTATGAATGTAGTACAATATTTCATAAGTTGAAATTGACGGTAAAGTTTGGTAGAATAAAGACTTGAGATGTAAGATTATTTTGAATCGATTCTTCAAAAAACCAGTTGACAACACTATATATGGATTGTGAAAAGTGAGGGAGGACAAGGATCTAGACTCCTGTGAAACAAAAAAGGAACGGAAAACCAACAGCCAAAGGGATATTATAATAGACGAATCGAAAATTTGTCAGGAAAGATAAACATTATATCATGAAGTACTCGATATATTTAGGAGGTTAAATACTGTATGAGCCTATTCTACTGTGAACCTTGATATACATGAACCAAATTATTTAAGCTTGTATTCCCAATTCGCTGATGTACCCAGCTAGAAAAACCAAAATTATTAGAACGTTAATAAACTCTGTGGATTGATATGGACACAGCTAGCTTTATTCTAATCCAACAAGGATTATTTAGCTAAACCACATTCACATTTTATAGAAGTACAAAAAAGTAGAGACTTATCAGTAAGACTAATTTTGGACTATTTTATATTGAGCTTGTAACACGTTATTACCGTTAAGTGAACTTTATTCAGTTAATATATAGCTCCTTACACGACGTTTAGCAATGTCTGATATTAAACGGATGCTTTGAACCCAACGTCCTTTATATATTTCAATAACATACTTTATTACTTATAAGGTTCTAAGTTTCCTGGTAATGGTTTGTAAACGTCATAAAATAACTTATTTTCAAACAATCAACGTAACTCAGAAGCTGTTCGGAGTACATATGGAGACGAACTATGTTTACTTATTATCTGATGAGTTATACTTTAGTTTGATAAATTTAATTGAAAAGCATGATGTACAAAAATTGTAATCGGAATTTCTGGTACGCTTGAAGCTAAGGTAAAACTGACTAACTAGTTCCAATCACAATAATAATTGACAAATAGTGGCGACAGATAGTACTCCACCTTAACATCCTGTAAAATCCTCCTTAATTGAATCAACCGATCTAATATGCGATCTTTTCTTCCCGACGACTCGTTAGATAAAGCCAAGAACATATGTTTGCATTTGAGAATTGCATCCTTCAACTCCTCCACTGATGAATTCTCGTTGATGCGTGCCTAGGAAGGATTAAAATAAGTGCGTAAGTACTTGGGACTACAAAAACAAAACTTATTGATATCTAGAACTTAATTACTTGAAGACAAATGTGCTCGACTTACGAAGGGTATGCTGAAATAATCGCTAGATAGATATTCTAAAAAACCTTTCACTCTGGAATTTGTGAGGGTTGGGGCTATAAAAAAAATTAGATATAATTAACTTTACAAACGACCCACCATCATATAGAGCAGATATGAGACTCTGCTGTTCGTTTGTATTACAATTAAAAGGGTTGAGACGTTGAGATCCTTTAGCATCTGCATTATCCATATTATAATGATGTTTGATTTGAAACAACTTAGAACAAAACAAGAAAGCATTTAAGAGACAAAAAAATAACACTGGATTTTAGGGAATGATGTGTGGACAACTTTATGCACTTTGGAAAACCTAGATGAACATCAATTATTAGTGTTGTAAACTTGCAATTCAACAGATAACTAGAAGACAGAATCCATGACTTTGATGAAGAACTTTAATATTGAAACTAAAACCCTTCAGGGATAAGTTCCGGATACCTTTTTGATCTCATTATGATCCAGTGAATAGAACATAACTAAATTGTGTCGATCCAAATGATGTTATAGTTTTCACGCAGACAAAGTAATACTGCCAACTGCCTAGAGATGTCACTCTTAAATGAATTTACGATCAGGATTTAATAATTAGGATTAAGATAAGATTTAAGATTAGAATTTGATTAATTACTAGGATGTAAGGTTTGGGATTAGGATGTACAGTTTAGTAGTAAATTTAAAGTAAACAGAAAGACTTTAATATATTTACCCGCCTTAGCCCATCAGAGAATATAAATGACTAGTACACAATTTTAAAAAAATGAAGGACTCAACTACTAATATGTTGGCTTTACATGATTAATGAGCTTATCTAAGTTATCTAATGGTTCTTAGCCGTTGGAGTTACGACCGAAGTTCCAGATTGAGTTTGAATTCAATTAACATATGACATAATCCATAGTCCAAACCTTAAAGCCCACTTATAAATCATATACCTAAGAACATATCCTGCTCCTAAACGTGACCACTGAAACCCAAGCAAAAAGGAAAGGACGGAGGCAGTGAAAATTCAGTCAAGAACTAAATTTCTCGCCTTCGGCTTATAGTTTTTTAAGGAAATGTTTCGGCGAAAGAGGGTAAAATACGCAGTGTTCAGTATTTTGTGGTCTTCCAAGACCACCAGAATGGACATGTCCATCCTGAAGATACCATGTGTGATAGAGCGTGAGGTGCAGTGTGGAAGAATCCGGCGGAAAGAACAACAATAAAAGTACACAGAATGCATTCATAATTTGATAATAGAAGAAATGGGGTGAGAGTATAATTTACGGACGATGTTTGAGCGAAGCTGAAGTGACCCTGAGGGTGGACACCTACTGATTAGGACTAAATGAGGGATATAAAGCAGTTAGAATTCTCATTTACAATTGATGGTAAGGGTTAAAAAGTAGACTTAGGGCTTTCATCACGAACTAACATCAGCTATAATGCCAATACGGATGAATTTTGCGCCAAAATTCGTGACTCGATATCTTGTATCTGATTGGTTCGTACATAAATTATATTCTCGCCACCTGGGAATTTTCAGCCTTTCGTAGGTTCGCTTCTAGCCTGAAAGTACATTGTGTGCTTGAGTATTTAGGATCGGTAAGTTAGACTATCTAGAAGAGAAGATAGCAAGATAAAATTTGTGCCAACAACTCAGTAAGCAAATATAATTCACTTACATTTGATAACGAGACGAAATGACAACAATCATAAATAACACAAGCTTGTGATAAAAACGATCTGATTGTCGAAACATGTTCTGCAAGTCTTCGACACGGGTGAATCTATCAAAATTCAAATTCACGAGCTCTATTTAAAAGGACAGTGGTATTGTTTCTCGTTGAGTTAATTAACTGTTCTGATCGTAAATTACGCATCAAAACTACTGTTTACACTTTAATTGCATCTACCCCAGTTAAAGTGATATTGTATTGAGTGTTTCGATTTTGCTTTTGTGTATTTATTACATCGAAGCATACGTGGTCGACTTTTACTTGATTTATCTAGTCAAGGTTTGAGAATCCTATTTTTGTCACCGTTCTAGTTGATTTTCAAGGTGGCTAGATCTGCTCATAAATATGGACAACCATATTGCTTATTTCCCGTGAAGGAAGGGATGCAATGTGAAGGGTGTAATAAGTGGTTCCATAAGATGTGCACCCGATTAAGCCCCACTGCATATAAAAGGTGCTCAAAGCCCAACTCTCATTGGCTTTGTAGTTTTTGTTGCTCGAGCAAAACACTGCTTATCCAGGAAGCAATTAGTCTCCTGGTGTTGGTTAATAAGAAGGTTGATGAGGGCTGTACTGGCAACATTGGTACTGATGGCGAAGATTGCGTTAGTGTCGTGAGCGTTGTCACGGCGCAAGCCAGACATCTACCTGTGCAACCCGCAGTTAAACGTTCTCCCCCGAAACAATCAATGAGTGACACCTCATTAGATATCGGTGGCCATGTTACTACAGCAGCAACCGGTGACCCAGATAAAACAATTACTGTCCCGAGTGGTTCTAATGTGGATGCTACGACTGATGAAATATGGATGACAAGGAAACACAGAAGAGTAGAAAGGACAGCTAAAACTACTGCCCGTTTACTTGATAAGTCCTCGATGGACTCTCAGACCACTCCGCCAAAGTCCCATAGTAAAGCTTCGTCTAACATTGTTGTGAGTCACTCGCTCGACTCCCAGGACTCTGTTACAATAAAAACTAGTCGTAAGATACCAGTAGTTAAAATACAGGATCTAACGTCAAGGTCGAAAGCTGTGAACACAGTTTCAAACGAAGCTAAACCCCTCCCTAGTTTAATTATTTGGAATCTAGAGGAGTCGAAAGACAACGACCCTGCTAGAAGACATGCACATGACCTGCAGTTAGTGAAGTCTGTGTTAAGGAATGCACTACCTGAAGAGGTTTCAGGGGTACATATGACAAAAGTAATACGACTTGGTAAATGGGTTGGAGGCGAGACCCAACCAAGAAGAATCCTGAAGCTGGTTCTCGGGAGTTTTGAAGAAAGACATTATTGAAAGGCGCACTAAAAACTCGTGACTCAAATATCCGTATTCGACCAGATTGGCTGCTTGTGGATCGAATCAAGTGGAAGAATGCTCTTACGGAGTTGAGGACTCGCAAATTAAATGGCGAATATAACCTTTTCATTAAGGGTTTTCGGGTAGTCAGGTCTTGGAAGCCAATGCTTCCGAGGCCTGTATGGGTAGAACGATTGATTTCCAAAACACCTTAAGTGTGTGCTACACGAACGCTCGTAGTCTTAGAAATAAAACGTCCGAGCTAAGTCTGATGGTGCAAGAATTATGTCCCGATATGATCGTTGTTACAGAAACTTGGTTCACCGTTGATATAGACTGTTCTCCTTTCATTGCTGGTTATATCTTTATCAGAAGTGATAGAGTTTCAAGTCGCAAGAGGGGAGGTATAATATTATACGTTAGGGATCACTTTCGTATACAACCAACCATACCGGAGGCTCATACCAGTGGCACATGTGAGGTTGTATGTTGTAAGATTAAATCTAGAAATGGGTTAGTGACTATATGGGGAATATACCGTAGTCCGTCTTGTCTTGCTGATGACTTTATCCTAAGGAACATCTGTTCTTGGAGTATGGCAGAATGTTGTCTCATCATTGGGGACTTCAACGCACCGCATATCAACTGGATAGAGCTTACAGCTCCAGGTAGTGGTTTCGATAGCGACCTTTTATCTACCTTTATTCAGGTGGTGTTTTGTTCTCTGAGCTGGATGGTTTGGTCGTGGAGCTTTCATCGTTCTTCTGAACGACATCATCAGCACAAACTTCAGGTAGAAGTGAAGTGTTCGAATTTCTCCATGTGTGTTTCACAGCTTGTTCTGTGCACCTCGATGTTGATTGGTTCTTGTTGACCTTAAATTTATCATTGTTTACTTCTTTGTTTTGGTTGTGTTATTCAGTGTGCGCTTGTACAATCTATCACAAAACCGACACATATTGATTTGCAACATGATCCGTCACTGCTGGACCTCGCCCTCACCCACCACTGTGAGGATGTCTTCGATATTCAGCACCTTCCCCCACTAGTTAATAATGATCACGTTGTAATTCACTTTAAGTTTAGGACACATGGTATACAATTCGTATCTGCTCCACCTCGTCCCAATATCTGGCGAGCCAATATTTCGGCAATCAGAAACTATGCTATCTCGACTTATTGGTCGGTCGACTCGGATGGATTGATCGAAGATGAATGGAATACGTTTAAGGCTACATTCGAGATCGTAACGTCGCCGTTTATCCCATGGTCAGCACGTAAGCTATCACTTTGCCCTCCATGGATTAATAAGGAAACCCGGAAGCTGTTAAAGCGTAGGAAACATTTCTGGGACTTATTCTTGCTGACATGTCATGCACCATTTAAGCGTGAGTACCGAAAAATTCCGTAATATCTGTAGGAAAACCATAGCGAAATCCCGTACCACTTACGAACGACAGTTAGTATATGATAGCCGTACTTGTCCGAAACGATTGTTTTCGTATGTTAAACGGCGGACGAAACGTAGTGATGGTATTCCCACGTTACTGTTACACGAAAATTCAGAATTACTAGCTGAATCGCATCGATCGAAAACTGAGACGTTTTCAGACTATTTTACGTAAGTCTTCTCTACGTTTATTGTAACAAATACTTGTCCCACTCACACCGAGATACCAACCATTGAATCTGTACAGGTGACTGAGGAAACTGTCCTTCCGTTGATAACTAACCTCAAACATGGTAAGATACCGGGCCCTAACGCGTTACATCCACGGTTGCTGTCATCTCTTGCGGACATTATTTCAAAACCGCTTGCGACACTCTTCAACATGTCCCTCACTCGCTCAACTCCCTAGAGATTGGAAGGACTCTATAGTTAGTCCTATATTTAAGGACGGTCAGCGACAGATAGTATCTAACTACCGGCCTGTCAGTCTAACTAGCATTGTCGTTAAGTTACTTGAAAAGATAATTCCAGTTAGGTTGCTAAGCCACATAGTTTCACACTCTGTTAGCTCCTGAGCCACACGGATTTCGTAACAAGCGTTCATGCTTGACTAACTTGTTTATTGCGAGGGAGGATTGGACAGCAGCCCTAGATAACGGTCTGTCTGTCGATGTGATATTCATAGATTTTAGCAAAGCATTTGACAAGGTTTCACACTCAGATCTTATGCAGAAGCTCACGAGCTTTGAAATAATAGGTACTGCACATGAGTGGATATGAAATTTCTTAAGTGACCGCAGACAGAGAGTTAGGGTCAACGGAACGCTATCCGATTGGAAGCCGGTCAAAAGTGGTGTACCCCAAGGCACCATCTCAGGTCCTCTGTTCTTCCTTCTTTACATTAATGAGTTACCACTGTTACTTAAGTCGTCGACATTATTGTTTGCGGATGATGTAAAAATCTGGAGAACAATAAAAAGTGCGGTTGATCATCTGGATCTTCGAGCTGACGATTTAGTTAGATGGGCTCGAGGTTGGGGTTTAGAAATCAGTGTTAGGAAGAGTGTGTTCATGCACATTGGTCACGGTAACAGTTACCGTTATACTATTGAGAGTAAACCTCTTTCATGCGTTCAAGAGCATAAAGACTTAGGAGTCATGATTTAAAAACAACTACGTATTGCAAAGCAGCCTCTGTCAAAGGTTTTCGTGCGTTATGGTCGATTCGCCGAGCGTTCAAATCTTTTGACGAGGAGACGTTTCGAATTTTATATCCCATATATGTTAGACCACATTTAGAGTACTGTATCCAAGCAGCTAGCCCGTGTCTGGTAAAGGATACTAACTCCCTTGAGCCTGTCCAGCGTGTAGGAACGAAATTAGTGAGGGGTCTTTCTAGACTCCCTTACGATGAGCGTTTAAAACGCCTAAATCTTTTCCCCTTGTCGTATCGTAAGACACGAGGTGACTTTATACTGGTATTTCGTATCTTTAATTATGATTTGGGTGTTAATATGTCTTATCTTTTTGCTCCCTCCAGCACTAATAATCTCCGAGGTCATAGCAAGAAGGTTCATAAACCACGATCTAATAAACTTAAAGTGGGGTCCCGTTTTTCTCACGGACTGTAAAATTCATAATCAGATACATAAAATATCAAAATATAATATATCATAAACAGTAGGCTTTATTTACGCTTGTTGTTCCTCATAGAGGAACATAGGCCGCTCACAAGCATTCTCCATCCAACCCTGTCCTGGGCAATCCTCTCTAGTTCTTTCTAGTTGTTATTCATCATTTTCATATCTGCTTCTATTTCCCGACGTAATGTGTTCTTTGGCCTTCCACTTTTCCGTTTCCCATCAGGATTCCAAGTTAGGGCTTGCCTCGCATTGCAGTTTGGTGATTTCTGTAATGTATATCCTATCCATTTCCATCGTCTTTTCCTAATTTCTTCTTCAGCTGGAAGTTGGTTTGTTCT